CGTTATATATATATATATATAAACAAGTCTAAATTGAAAACAACGTTCAAACCTATGATTGCATTGGATAAAAACCGCAATTTTTATACGTGTGCATGCAAAACAAATTTCTTGTTAGAGGGGTCTAAATACAGCACAAACAACATTTTCCAAAAGACCAAAAAAGTGAAAAAGTATATTTTAACAAAACGCATTTGACTAACGGGTCGAACAACAAATGTTCTTAAATCCTGCTGACTGCCATTGGCAAATATAATACATATATATATAATATAATATATATTGATTATCATATAAGATGTTTGTTTTTAAGGGAGAAAAAACAATAAATCTGTTGATTTTTTTCTAGACCTTTAAATATTTTTGATCATAATATAATATAAATTTAAATAAATTAAGACTGCATATTTCTAGTTTATTTACAGAACCAGAACATTTCAAGTTTCTATTATATTGTATATTGACATTCTTTTTTTACATTTAAAAAATATTTTAGATTAGAAAGCCATTTGTTGAATTTGTAGCATGATTATCGATATCATGAAAAACAAAATCTAAAGAAATCTTTTTTACATGTTTGAAATAATCATATAAAATTAAGAGATGTGGTATGATTGCCAATGAGACAACTATCGATCAGTTCAAATGAAGTGGAGGTAAGCAATCATAGGTAACAGTACGGCCTTTACCAATTAGAAAACCCTATACCGTATGGTTGGCTATAAAAGGCCCCGACATGAAAAATGTGAAACAATTCAATTGAGAAAAACTAACGGCCTAATGTATAACAAAACAATTTACGAAGAACATGACAGACATGAACAAATGACAACCACTGAACTACAAGCTCCTGACTTGGGACAGGCACATAAAGAATGCTGACTACCGAAGTCATATTGGTTTGACAATGCAAATTAAATGGCAGATTATAAAAGCTTGTTCTCAAAGGAAATGTTGATTTTCCCATGAGAAAATTTTGTTCCTATAAATTCCTAAATTTTAAAAAGTTAGATATTTCCGAAGGGAACATTAAAATTTCCAATGGGAGCAAAGCTTTTAAAATTGATCCCATGGGAACTTTAATTTTCCCATATGAACTTTAGATTTTCCCATGGGAACTCTAATTTTTTCTCATTGGAATAATGAATATCCCCATGGGAAATCTTAAATTTTCTATGGGAAATTCATCTTTAAAAACACACGTGACCTTCTTAGGTGACATTGGGAACACGTGTCTCATGCAATCCCCCCCCCCCCCCCTTTCTTTATTGCCTAGCTGTTTTTGAAAGAATTTTTACAACATTTCTTACAAGTAAACAAGTCAGATTTGCCAATTCTGGAAGGGCAAATTTGTCTTTTACCTCTTCTACCATATAGTGGCCGCCTTCAACAAATTGACGATTATGTCACTGGAGGATAACTTACAACAAGACATATATTAATATTTATACAAATTAAAAAAAAAATAGAGGAAAAATGAAAATTACAAATGAACAGTTAGTTTTATGTGAATAGCTGAGTTTAATATTGATGTTTTGAGATTGAAGATTTGAAAGAGTCTACTGATGCAATTTATGATGTTATCAGGTAGTTTGTTCCAGTCGGTTATTGTTCCCGGGAAAAAAAGATTATTTTCTGTACTGTGTTTTGCAGGATGGAATATGGAAACTGTTCTAATACAGCAATCGTAAACCTTTTCTTCTGTCAGAGAGGCTGTGCCATTCAATGCGTTGTAACATGTTACCAACGCTTGAGGTGTTTCTGTACTTGTTGGTTACAAAACGGGCAGCCCTTCTTTGATTTTTTTTCAATGATATCTATGTCTTGTTGTAAGTAAGGGTCCCAAACAGAGCAAGCATACTAGGGACTTGTTTGCCTGCTCTTTAATGGATATTGAGCTAATATTCAGATTCCTCCTTAGAAAGCCTATAGTGCTATTAGCTTTCTGGCATGTGCTGTTTATGTGCACATCCCATTTAAGGTTAGAGCTGATGGTTACCCCCAGATATTTTGCTGTTGTATCATGTTCTCAAGAGTGATTTTTCGAGATCTTTTGGTAACGTAGATGCGTCAGAATTTGATTTAATTGCCAAATAAACTATGGCGTCACCTGCAAATAAATGCACTGTAGATGTAAGACCAGGACCTGTATCGTTTATGTAGTACAAGAAAAGACGGTCCAAGAACTGACCCCTGTGGAACCCCTGACTCGACTGTTACATACTCAGATTTTTCACCCTCTAAAACTGCTTAAACATTTTTGTATCCAGAAATTTAGTTCTCCCTTTATCCCGTAATGGTGAAGTTTGTTAATGAGAAGAGAACGGGTAACTTCATCAAATGCATCTGAGAAATCCATGACCAAAACATCTGTTTGTTTGCCATTTTCCATGTTATGTGAAACATCATCTGTGAATTGAATTAACTGTGTTTCACAGAATCGACCTCTGTGAAATCCATGCTGTAGGGGATATAAGATGTTGTAATTATCTGCATGTCTTATGATGTGTTTAACCACCAAATGTTCTAGAAGTTTGCGACAAATACATGTGATGGATATAGAGGGTTATATTTTTTACCTTTTTTGTATACTGGCAGGTGAGACATGGGAAGTTTTCCAGTCATCTGGAACAATACCTGTTTTAACTGACTTCTCAAAGATGATGGTAAGTATTGGTAAACAATCTTGGTTTAATCTCACATCTGGTCCTGTTGCTTTGTTTGGATTTAAATTTAAGTTTTTGTTCACCTCCTGTTTTTATGAATGATTTTGATATTGGTGGAAACAGATATTATGTGGCATGTTGCACTGTTTGAAAACTTCTGTATGGGAGATATTGGTTGCCGATGTGAATACGGACTGAAATTGTGTGTTAAGTGCACCAGCTTTTTTGTAGTGGATCAATTAGGGGTTTCCCAAGCCCATTTTGTTTATTTTGTTTAATTTCAGAAATACCATTATAATCATTATTTTTTATTTCACACAGTGTTCTATTTGGACCGTGTGTTTCCCGCTTTTGTTTACTGAATATCCTGATCCTAAGGTCAAAACATTGACACAACTTGTCTCATGATACTATTAATTTCATCTTAAACAGGTGCTTTAATTTCTCTTAGTAATAACTCACGGTACTTTGATATACCTTTTTAGGCGCATGGTCGGGATTCAGGGCTTCAAGTGCTAGATCTCGAAATCACCCTAAACTTTCTAAATATTCTATAATATGTGCTGTTCTTTCGTAGGTCTCTTTTGATGTTGGTGCCAATAGTGTTGTCATATCTGTTGGGATGCTCAATGTGTCCACTGTCTCATCATTTCTTCTCTTTCATGTTGGTATCGTGTGCAGTTGAATAAGTGGTGTTCCGTATTTTCTTCTTCACCACATTCGCAATATGGCGTGAGGGATTGACCAATTTGATGACGGTACTTATTTAGCCTGTTATAACCTGTTCTTAGTCCTGACAGAATTCTTCCTGTTTCAGGATTCGGGTAATCAAGGTTGACAACCTTACCAACAATAGGTCCCGGATCGTACAGTTGTCTACCAGTTTCACTTATGGTCCATGTACTCTGCTATTTCATTTGTGTCTACATCCTGACTGCGCTTCTAACATCTGACATCGTTATAACATTGTATTGGTCATTTAAGGCTGTGGCCTCCTTTGCTGCATCTACTGTCAGCTGGTCCACTATGACTTAAGGTTCGTTCCCGGCTATATTGGCATGTCCTGGGATCCAAGATAGGGTTGTGGATATGCCGTGTCTCAGTAGTGTCCCCATACTTTCCTTGATGTCTGTAATGGTGTCAATGTAATTAATAGATTTCCAATTGAGAGTCAGGATGCCAACAGCTGTCTGGCTATTTGAAAGTATATTACCTCCGTGAACTGGTCTCTGATTGTGATAACGCAGTGCTATAGGATCATGAGGATAGCTACCAGTTCAGCTAGTAATATTGAACCTCTACTGGCCACTGGTCTCTAGGCTGGTTCCTATTTTAAGATACAAGCCGTTTTTACTCAATAAAAGTACAGTTTTACTTCATGAATTCGATGTATGTGTCTTGTTTTCGGTGAAAAGCTCATTAGAGCTTATGTTTGTATGTTTGTCAATATGCCGAATCAAAATAAAGTTTTACTTCCTTGTATGCAAGTTCCGTGTGGATAACAATATGGCGGACGTAAATATTCAATAGGTGGAGAACTCTTATCTAAATAAAAGTATAAAAAATATTAATCATTTTTTTTTTTATTTAAGTTTTCCAAATGATGTATTTACTTTTCAAATTTCCATTTCTAAAGAAATTATCCTTCAGAACTGTTTTACTCTTCTATTTTGATACAGTTATCTACATTTTGAATAATTTACGTTCGCCATATTGTTATTCAAAAAGAACTTATATAAAAGTCACACAAAATCAAATTTTTGAAGTGAAGTTATATTTATTTTTTTTTTAGTAAAAATGACTTATATTTCAAATTTATATACTTTAATATCTATAAAAGCAGTATAAACCATATGAACTTAAGTTTTGGGGTAACTTTATCTCCGGTTCTCGGGTCAATATTCAGTTCTTGGGAGTTTTCGGGAAATCGTGGTACTGAGTCGACAATAAACTTGTGGAACCAGAGTTTACATACAAAGCTGGTGCAGATCTTATGATGACGAGGGCTCCAAGTTACTGGAGCAGATTAGGAAGCTTAAAAAATAGAACAGCAGAACAGACAATTCAAAGTAAACAATTAACAAGTTGTTCGGGACCTGATAGGAGAGAGATCTAACTCAACAGTACTAGCATTTACAGATGGCTCTTGTCAGGGTAACCCAGGACCATATGGAATTAAAATATTAAAGAAAATGAAAAGTGGATTCCATACTACAAGCGCCCGTTGGTAATGAATTCGGCTGCGGTTTGCTGATTCTGGGTACATGGTAAGGTATTATTTTTTTAAATACCAATCGGTTATAAGTTGAACCTAATATCATTACGTCCCTTAAATCTTAAATCCTACTTCCGCAAAAATAAAAAAACACGTGAAATTCAACCAAAAATGAGTTTCAAGGAGTATAAAACAAACATTGAAGAAAATGACACTGCTATATTGTATCTTGGGTTTGACAACATGCATGCTATTAAAGTTGTCAAGGGACAGACGTTTCAAACGAAATTTGGAGCCTTACGCTTGTCAAACTTGATAGGAAAACCTTATGGAAGTAGAATACAATGTCCAAAAGGATATCTGTATGTTCTGTACCCAACCCCAGAATTGTGGACCCAGAATTTACCTCACAGAACACAAATTTTATACTCTACTGATATCAGTTTAGTAACATTACAGCTAGATCTGAAACCAGGATCAGTGGTAGTCGAATCAGGTGATCATACATATATAATTTGGATTTTCAAATGTTGATGAAAAATGGTACCTTGAATTGACGAAATCCCCTACAAACATTAAAACCCTCTTAGAATTCACCAAAATCTCCATTGTTTAGCCACCAAAACAATAAAGAAATCGTAACTAAAGACAAAAACTGTTACTGTTTTTAATCACAACAATACTTGTGTGATTTCAGAAGAGCGATTTCGTTGTATTGAATTTCCTAGTTTAACAATATGACTGATGTACATTGTATGTAAAAGCTAGGAAACTCTGTCTAGATACTTAACAAACCTTTGGAAGTACTATTGATGATTTTCTCAAGCAAAGTCCTATCAAATATGTCTTCGCATTCTTATTTCATTTATAATGTTTGTATGCTGATATTTCTTTTTTTTTCTTTGGAATGCTGCCAACTCAGGAGCCTGTAGTTCAGTGGTTGTTCTTGGTTCACGTCTGTCATGTTTGTTTTTCCTAAATTGTTTTGTTATAAATTAGGTCGTTAGTTTTCTCAATTGGATTGTTTCATATTTTTCATGTCAAGGTCATTTAAAATGTATAGCCGACTATACAGTATAAGTTTTCTCATTGTTGAAGGCTGTATTGTTGCTTATAATTGCTACATCCACTTCATTTGAACTTGGGTTGAACCCGGTGGATAGTTGTCTCACTGGCAGTCATACCACATCTCCTTATTTTTACAAGTACTAAATGTAATATCAGATTACTTAAAGATTTCTTTGCCGTTTCAACACTTAACTTTACTTTGCCTCAACCAAATGTTGTGAATGTTATACACAATACTTATAACCACCAAACAAAGATCAGGTTTGAATTTGGGTGGTATCACTTTCATTTTACGGTTCTTGTGTTATGCCCCATTATAAAAGAACCATCCGGGATTGGAACGCTCTTCCTCCTGGGGTCGTATCAGCACTGTGAGTCGAGGCCTTTAAAGCCTCGATGACAAAACTGAATTAAAATTTTTAAATTTTGGGGGGAGGGAGGTGGTCTTATATGCGCACCAAACCATGGCAGTATAATCAGTTCGTTGATTGTGGCAATTATCTGGCAGAAGCAGAAATGGAAATATACACAAGCTGAATTGTTTTACACTAGTCATTTTGGGGCCCTTTATAGCTTGCTGTTCGGTGTGAGCCAAGGCTCCATGTTGAAGGCTGTACTTTGACCTATAATTGTTAACTATTTATACATTGTGACTTGGATGGAGAGTTGCATTACCATCGGTACATATCAGTTTATCAACCTAGTTCATGGTCCAGCAACTTTGAATTAATTAGCAATTTTCAATGTTCAGTTTTCTGCTCAAGTTAGTTTGATAGGATCTACTTGTAATAGATCAATGATATTTTGTTTGAAGTCACATTACTATCTGTACATATCAGTTTGACGACTATTTTAAGGCCCTGTCCCCTAAGTCATGGTCCAGTGACTTTGAATTAATTAGCAATTTTCAATGTTTAGTTTTGTGCTTAAGTCAGTTTAATAAGAACTACTTGCAATAGATCAATGATAATTTGTTTAAAGTTGCATTAATATCAGTACATATCAGTTGGACGATTATTTTCAGGCCCTGCCCACTAGATAATGGTCCAGCGACTGAATTAATAAACCATGTTGCTGTCCATCAGATTGTCTTTTTCTGAATTTTATGCTGACAGGCGAGACATCTCTCTGTGTCAACAGTTTATTATATTGAAAAGCATTGTGGATTATTTCTTTTAGATGATTTTTCAATTTAACATGAGGGAATGGTGGTATAAAGGGTTGAAAAATCAAAGGTTTTGATAGAACGAACCTAAGAGAATGATCGAGATTTAAAATTATCCAGAAGTTCTTTAAAGTTTTTTAGAATACACATATGGTTAATACCACTACACTGGTAAACAGTTTCACAGTATTTCTGAAGACCTTCTTTAACAAAGGGATTTCATTAATTCGAACAAGGATTTATATAGTAAATACATGTACATTTGTACTACCCCTGTATATAAATCCTTGATTCCAGGTACCACATATAAACTTAGGTTTTGTACAGTGCACCAGTACCAAAGACATTAAGCAATACTTTTACTTGAAGAAGCTTAGTACAAAGCAGTTTTGTAGTACAGATCTACCTTTGCACTGTAAAAAGAAAGAAATGGTAAAATCTCAAAGATCCATGACTCATATGTGATAAATAAAAGGTGTTAAGTATAGGGTATCTAAACAATAGAGGAACTGGTACATGTACATTTGTTAGGTAAAATGTTATGCTTGTTCACTACATACATCTTATTCAAAAGCTGTTAGTTTTTGAATACCTATATTATATCAAAATGAAATTCAGCAAGAGGTAACAGGATATGGTCCATACTAAAGTCAAAGATAAACTAATGAACAGATATATATATATATTTGCCTTCGGGTTTATATTATCTGTTCATCCTATTTCGACTCTTCAAAATTCAAGAGTCTATCCTAAATTGAGGTAAATTATATGGTCTTCCAAATACTGTTTCGATTCATAACATCAATGAAGAGACATTAATTGTCGAAATCAGGATATGGTGTACTAATTTTTGCACCTTTTGTTTGCAGTATACCATCTTTTCCACAAGTTTATTGTTTTCTGTTTGGTATTAAATTGATAGTTAAGATCCATTTTTATACGACCTCAAAAAAATTTTACCATAAGGTTCCATTCCACAAAAGGAAGGTTGGGATTGATTTTGGGGGTTATGGTACCAACAGTTAAGGAATTAGGGGTCAAAAAGGGGCAAAAAATAAGCATTTTTGTAACTTCCAGACATAACTTGTGTGTTAGTGTATGGATCTCTCTGACATTGTACCACAAGGTTCCATATCACAAAGGGAATGCTGGGATTGATTTTGGGGGTAATTGCCTCAAAATTTCAGGAATTAGGGGCCAAAAAAGGGGCAAAAACCAAGCATTTTTATATGGACAAATACTTTAGTACAAACCATAATTTAAAGCAGTGTAAGGGAGATAAATCAAGTACATGTACATCATTTGAATTACCTCCCTTACACTGCTTTTAAATTATGTTTAAAGAAATTCATATTTATAAAGGAAGACCAGTAAAAATATCTGCAAATGTTGCATCTTTTTTTTTTACAAAAAAATCCATATGAAAGATTTGACACCATATTTTAAATTCTATTATAAAACAGATTAAATTAGCACTATGGTAAATTTAAATGGGTAATTATGGTTGAAAATTCCATTGGAAATTTGAATTGAGATTATGACCATATCTTGAAGGAAAGAATATTTTGGGGGAAAAAAGGGGGGGGGGGGGGGGGGGGGGAAGAAATTGTGGGGGTCAATTTTTTCTCATTTCAGATTTCAGAAATTAAAAAGAATTATTCTTCAAATATTATTTTTTTTTCAAATTTCAAATATTGAAAAATTTCAAGAAGTAATCTTTAATTGCACAGTATGGCGCATTAGATTTGTAAAATCTTTGACCACATTTATTTATTTGTTATGCCAAATCTGACCGTGTATTTAGATTTTTAATTTTGGGTCCAGTTTCCAAATTGGTCTACATTAAGGTCCAAAGGGTCCAAAATTAAACTTAGTTTGATTTTAACAAAAATTGTATTTAGATTTTTGATTTCGGGCCCAGTTTTCAAGTTGGTCCAAATTGGGGTCCAAAATTAAACTTTGTTTGATTTCAACAAAAATTGAATATATGGGGTTCTTTGATATGCTGAATCTAACCATGTACTTAGATTTTTTATTTGTGGGCCTCGCTATCAAATTGGTTCATATTGAGGTCAAAAGGGTCCAAAATTAAACTTTGTTTTATTTCATCAAAAATTTAATTATTGGGGTTCTTTGATATGCCAAATCTAACCATGTATTTAGATTTTTAATTTTGGGTCCCGTTTTTTTTAAATTGGTCTACATTAAGGTCCAAAGGGTCCAAAATTAAACTTAGTTTGATTTTAACAAAAATTGAATTCTTGGGGTTCTTTGATATGCTGAATCTAAACATGTGTTTAGATTTTTGATTATGGGCTCAGTTTTCAAGTTGGTCCAAGTTGGGGTCCAAATTAAACTTTGTTTGATTTCAACAAAAATTGAATATATGGGGTTCTTTGATATGCTGAATCTAACCATGTATTTTGATTTTTTGGGCCCTGTTATCAAATTGGTCCACATTGAGGTCAAAAGGGTCCAAAATTAAACTTTGTTTGATTTCATCAAAAATTGAATTCTTTGGATTCTTTGATATGCTGAATCTAACCATGTATTTAGATTTTGGATATTGGACCATAATAGGTAAATTAAAAATTTTTAAGTTCTTAAACCACATTCATTCTGTGTCAGAAACCTATGCTGTGTCAAATATTTAATCACAATCCAAATTCAGAGCTGTACCAAGCTTGAATGTTGTGTCCATACTTGCCCCAACTGTTCAGGGTTCGACCTCTGCGGTCGTATCAAGCTGCCCCCAGCGGAGCATTTTTTCTAGTTTCATGACAATAACTTGTGTGAAAGTGTATGGATCTTTCTGAAATTGTGCTACAAGGTTCCATATCACAAAGGGAAAGCTGGAATTGAGTTTGGGGGTAATTGTCCAAAACGTTTAGGAATAAGGGGCCAAAAATAAGCATTTTTCTAGTTTCCAGACAATAACTGGTGTTCAAGTGTATGGATCTCTCTGAAATTGTACTGCAAGGTACCATACCACAAAGGGAGGGCTTGGATTGATTTTGGGGGTAATTGCCTCAAAATTTTAAGAATTAGGGGCTAAAAAGGGGCAAAAAACAAGCATTTTTCTAGTTTCAGGACAATAACTTGTGTGTAAATGTATGGATCTTTATGAAATTGTACTACAAGGTTCCATATCACAAAGGGAAAGTTGGGTTTTGAGTTTGGGGGTAATTGCCCTAAACGTTTAGGTATTTGGGGCCAAAAAGGGGCCTAAAACAAGCATTTTTCTAGTTTCCAGACAATAACTGGTGTTCAGGTGTATGGATCTCTCTGAAATTGTACTGCAAGGTACCATACCTCAAAGGGAAGGCTGGGATTGAGTTTGGGGGTAATGAATCATAAGAGGGTTTAAAAAATTTGGGGGAGGGATTTTTTTTCTTTAAAATTTTCCATTTTAAATTGGTTATTTCTGATTTATATATAAAAGCAAATAATAATGATATGGTTTGAATAGATAAATTAAAATTTTTTAAGTTCTTAGACCACATTCATTCTGTGTCAGAAACCTATGCTGTGTCAAATATTTAATCACAATCCAAATTCAGTGCTGTATCAAGCTTGAATGTTGTGTCCATACTTGCCCCAATTGTTCTGGGTTCAACCTCTGCGGTCGTATCAAGCTGCGCCAAGCGGAGCATTTTATTTTACTTCTGGTGATCCCTTTATTTGGCAATCGCCAATGGCAGTCAGCAGGATTTAAGAACATCGGTTGTTCGACCTGTTAGTCAAATGCGTTTTGTTAAAATATACTTTTTCACTTTTTTGGTCTTTTGGAAAATGTTGTTTGTGCTGTATTTAGACCCCTCTACCAAGAAATTTGTTTTATATGCACACGTATAAAAATTGCGGTTTTTATCCAGTGCAATCATAGGTTTGAATGTTGTTTTCAATTTAGACTTGTATATATATATCAGTATATATCATATTCAGGGATAGGGGCATCAAAATTATCAGTGAAGAGAAGGAACATGATATATAAAAATGAAAAGATGTGGTATTATTGCCAATGAGACAACTATCCACCAGAGACCAAATGACATACTAGTAGATGAAAGCAATTATAGTTCACTGTACAGTGTACCTATGATTAACCTATTTAAGTAACAAATGAAAATATTTTTTTTTAGGAACTGGCAGTGGATCTTTGTCACATGCCATCATCAGAACGGTGGCACCTGAGGGACATTTATACACATTTGAATTTCATGAACAGAGAGCACAGATAGCTAAAGAAGAGTTTGTTGAACATGGTGTTAGTGATTTTGTTACTGTTACCCATAAAGATGTATGCCAGGATGGATTTGGATTGAATGGTATAGCTGATGCTGTTTTCCTTGACTTACCAAGACCATGGGATGCAATAACTAGTGCTAAGCAAGCTCTCAAAAGAGAAGGTAATTTTTCATGACAAAAGGAACATTACCATTAAATGTTTTTTTTTTTAATATCTGATGTTATATAAAGGTGAATAATACTCCAAATGTATAACCTCTGCTCACTTTTAGGCCACATATGATTGTATTGCTGATGTTTTGGCAGTTAAATTTATTTTAATAATATTCTTTCTAATAAACAAAAAGTCGATTCATTACCTTATATGATGATCAGAACTGGATTTTAATGCTTTATATTCGGGATGTCAATGAGGACTAGAATACTTGAGTATCGAATACCTGATAACCCTGGTAATGGGTTTCCTGTTAGGAAATTTACCTTTCTTTTCCCAAAAATGATTTTCTTGTGAACACCTGTTGTAGAATTGTATAGTAATCACTAATTATTCCTAATTAAATTTGTTTCGTTAGTTTGTGCTAGATTTTTGTTTAAAATGCCTCCAAAATCTTCAGTTTTGAAATACATTAGAAATTCCAAGACATCCTACATGTAGAAGTGGTTATCTACACATGAGAGCAGCTTTCCTATATACATGTAGGCTGACACTTTTGACTAAACACATCTTTGTCTTTGCCATTTCTGCCACATCGGTACAGTCAGAGCAAACAATTTCATCTGCAAAACTTGTATATATATAATTAGTTAAAGAGTTACGAAACCGACTCTTCCTTGAAAAAGAGAGGCGAAAGATACCAAAGGATCATTCAAACTCATAAGTCGAAAATAAGCTGACAACGCCATGGCAAAAAAAGAAAAAGACCAAAAGACAAACAACAGTATACAAAACACAATATAGAAAACTAAAGACTGACCAACATGAACCCCACCATAAAACGGGGGTGATCTCATGTTCCAGAAGGTTAAGCAGATCCAGGTCTACACGTGGCACCTGTGGTGTTCCTCCTGTTAGTAGAAACCCAGTGATAAGTCTAATTCGGTAGGTCACATTTGGGAAAAGGAAGACAGGATTGTGGTTACCATGATTGGAACATATCCATCAATATCTGTGAAACAGATATTCCATGGTTTTTGATGCTCTCAAATATTTTATGTTCATGAATTTTCTTCAGAAACTTAAGGGCATATCATACAGTTACAGGGGAGGTAATAATGTTGCTAACGTAAAATATTGTTTTTTTGCAACGTCAAACTGTGACATGTCGGAAAAAGATGCATATTTCAACTAATTTTAACCATTAGCTTGAAAACAAGCACATGGACCCCTCTTTTTAAAAATGACATTTGGCTTGATTATGTATGAAAATTATTTGTACCAATTTTTATGAACAAATCACCAATGACTTTTTTAAATTAGATAAATAAACATGATAAACAGCAAAAAATGCCTGTTTTTTTCTAAAATCATAAAAATTTGATAAAATAAATTATTTCCAAAGAGTTGTTACACAAATTTATAGCATACTTATGTAAAAGAGATATTCCAAATGCTTTTACAAAAATCTGCTTGTGTTTATCTTTTGAAACAAAAAAGTTAGGTATGTCTGTCCAAAGGATAGAAATTTTCAAGAAAATCGAAATTTTGAGTTCATGTCTAATATTTCGACCCATTTATCTCTAAATGTAGCACATGAATCAAAGGTATATTTTTACTAGGTGAAAATAGCTTGTATGCAAATTTTTTTCAAAAATTCACTGTGGGATCAAAACTGTATCATATGCCCTTTAAGTCTCATGTGTACTTGATGAGGTTTATTTCATATTCATACTTTCATATTTTTCCTCTAATTCCTTTTCTTAAATCATTATTATGGTTATTCAATCATAATTGCAGTACTGGTAGTTCTTACACTGTTTGATTAAGTTATAAAAGAAAAAGGCACAACGAAATAGAATTTCAATGGTACAGGTAATTCTTATTTTATGCAATGATTACAAAAACTATAATATAAAGAATATTGATAAATCTTTCTTTTTATTTTAGGTGGAAGACTATGTTCCTTTTCTCCTTGTATAGAACAAGTACAGAAAACATGTGAAATACTACAGCAACTGGGGTTTGAAGATATAACATCTATGGAATGTTTAGTGAAAAATTATGATGTTAGAACTGTTAATCTTCCTATTGCTGATTTAGGTAAAAATTCAACTTTATCAAATACAGCATCAGAAGAAAAGAAAGCATGCAAAGAGATTGAAGAAAAGGCAGATTCAGTGAAAATACAGAATGAAACTGAGGACTTAGAGACTAAAGAACCAATGGACACAGACATTAAAGAAAAGTTAACATCAAAAGACAAAGACAAGTCTAACAAGGCAGTTGATAAAAGCAAACTAAGAACTGATTTTGATTTGATAGGAAAGAAAGAACAATATAGCTTCTTTTTTAAGACAGGGGTATTTCCTCAGAATATGCCAGGGCATACTGGATATTTGACTTTCTGTACATTATATCCATCATAATAAAAATAAAAATTCGTTTTCAACAACATTATGAAATAGAATCTTTCTAATACTTTGAATCATTGTTGAAAGCATGAAATCATAATTGGCAAAGTGATTTTATAATTTTTACTAGGTATTTTTTTTTTATTATTTTGAGTAAGTGGAAATATTAAAAAAGCACATATCAAACACAGAGACAATACTGTGACAGAAAGAAAACAGGACAAAATGGCAGTCCACAAAACACTACACTAAAAGCTAAAGAATTTAATTCTGGTAGTTCAGAAGCCATTAGTTGTCTTTTCTTAACAATTGATTAACTTTGGGTGATTACTTATGGTAACGTAGTGTCAATGCTCAGTGTTTTTTTCTTGGAGTTATGCCCCTTTGAACTTAGAATTTTGGCCTAAATATACTTCTGCAACAGATTGCCATCGAAACTCCTCTGAAACTACACAACAGAATTTCAAGAAACTTTGTAGATAACAAGGAAATACTATGTAGATTTGCATATCCACATGAACTTTTTTTATCTGTTGACTTTTGAAGGAGTTATGAGTCTTAAAAGTTCTTTAATTGATTAATTGGTTGTCTTTTTTTAACATGTAGATCTTGTCACTTGGTATGAATGATAGATTGTTTATTTTGTTTTTTTAATTCTGTGGCAAATGACTGCAGATTCAGGATAAGACAATTCTGTATTGTTGAAGACCTTATGATAATATTTGTTTGTCCTGCGATGAAAAGTACCAGAATGCTAGACATAGGGATTACAATCCTGAGGCAGCAACTGTGAAGATGTAAACTATTTGTTTAAAGCTTGATATTTCAGAAGGTAGAAGATCTGGATGCTTCATACCTTGTATACAGATACCCTATATTATAAAGTTTCTGTCTGTCATATGTTCATTGTCCTTGACCTCATTTTCATGGTTCAGTGACTGCTTAAAAAAGAATCAGTTTTGACATTATAATGAGTAATAGGATAATTATATTTGGTTTATGGGTTCCTTGCAATGTCTACATGTCTGTCAGGTAGGGTTCGCTTTACCTCTACCTCATTTCATGGATCAGTGATCAAGGTTAAAGTAACGTGGTCAAGTCCATATCTCATAAACTATAAGCATTAGGTCAACTATATTTGGTGTAAGGAATGATTATAAGGTGTACATGTCTGACTGGCAGGATTCATTTTGCCTTGACCTCAATTTCATGGTTCACTGGTCAATGATAAGTTTTTCGTAATTTTGTCAAGTTTATCAGATACTATTAGCAATAGGTCAACTATATTTGGTGTATGGAATGAGTGTAAGGTGTACATGTCTGTCTGGTAGGGTTCATCTGTTGGTTACTTCATTTTCATAGAACATTGATAATGTTAAGTTTTAATAAAACCTTCATATTACAGACGTTTAACATAAATTTAATAAGTAAAAAAGTGAGACATTTCAACATGTGCACTCATGTTGTGTTGTGTGTTTGCTATCTTGCTCACATGTAATCCCATCCAGTAGTGTTGTGACTTCTTATAGGAGTTTTCTACCCTTATTTCTAAACTCTTGCAAGTATTAATGTACTTGTAACTACTTTATAAAACAGTTGTTTGATACTGAAATTAATATTGTTCAGATGATATATATTTCTTCAGGTGAAAATGAATATGCAAATACAAGCAACACAAATCCAAGTTAACCAAAAATTGTGGACGATCTCAGATGCCCTAAAAAGGTGAGCAGATTCTGCTCCACATGTGGCACCTGCCCTGTTGCTCATGGCAAATACAAATTCAGTTATTAGTCTATTTGGTGAAGTCACTAACTAGGAAAAGAGAGTGGCATTGTGGATACAACAGTTGGAACTTATACATGGTCATCTGTTTCACAGATATACTATAACAGTCTGAAACTAGACAAAGTAAAGCCCCAGCACTCACTCTGAAGTGACTGTATTATAACAAAGTCAATGTAGGACTTTCTTTGGGATATTATTGTGTCTGGGAGACACAAATGAAGCCCCCACAGATGCAAAGTGTTATTTTAAAATACACAAAAAGTTGAGCATGGGAGCACATAGGTCTATGGTTCACTGAAGGAGGAGTTATCTGGAAAAGCTATGCACCTCTTATGCAAGTATATACTCCAAAAATGACAAAGTTCAACTATCTCCCAAAAGAGCAAATATTAATAAAAATCAAAACCCTGACCACATGCACATCTTCAATATATGTACAAATGGCCAGCAAAGTGAAAACTTCCTAGCATTCAACTGTAGGAGGAATTATCTGGAAACTCTATGGCACCTCTTATGCATGTAAATACTCCAAAAAATGACAAAAGTTCAGCTATCTCCCAAAACAGTAAATATCAATAAAAATCAAAAACCTGACCACATGCACATCTTCAATATATATATACAAGCAGCCAGCAAAGTGAAAAATTCCTAGCATTCAAACTGGTAGGAGGAGTTATCCTGAAACGCTATGCACCTCTTATGCAAGTATATACTCCAAAAATGACTATGTTCAACTATCTCCCAAAAGAGCAAAATCAATAAAAATCAAAACCCTGACCACATGCACACCTTCCATATATGTACAAACAGCCAGCAAAGTTAAAACTTCCTAGCATTCAAACTGTAGGAGGAGTTTCTGGAATAACTATATACCCATAATGGGACAGAAGGACGGACAGGGGTAAAACAATATGCCCCCCCCCCCCCCCCCCCCAACTTTCAGTTGCATGGGCATAAAAACTATAATCATTTGAAAATGTTTCAAAGGGATGACTTCACTTTACCATTATAACCTTTGGTTCAATAGCTTCCTTTTAAGCAGCAACATTCATTAGGAAAATCACAATAGGAAACACAAGCTGTGGAATATCTTATCAACTGTTAGATATATATTTTGCACCCAGGTACTGCACGAATGTTGCTACATAGGAAGGGAAAGTTCATAAAGGAAAGCTGAAATCAAGTATTTTAGCATAAGGTTTAGTCTCAATCTTTACTTTACCAAAGTAATATTGTACTGACCTATTATTTTTCAGGATGTCCTCATAGGTTAGGGTTGTGGGAGTAAATGTTGTAATACCTGACAGCCTGCATGAAGTTAAAATTGGATAATAAGTATAATGAAAATTGTTAACACTTGTAGAAGTTTGGGTGAAAATATTTGAAATAAGCAATATGATAAGAGTGACAAATAACAATGTTGATATTGCACAAGTTTATTTTTTGTCAATACAGAAATAAAATGTATAAAGATCCTTTTTTTTTTAAATTGTCCAAACCAATGAGTTTCTGTGAAAATGTATCTTTTACTGTAAAATTGTTACAATTTTAAAACTCAAGCTATTTCATAACTTTTTTTTTTATTTGCCAGTATGAAGTCATTGTAAAAGAGCAAGTTCAATGGGGCAAGCAAGGCCTTTTGTATGCCATGCATTTAGCTTAAATGAGTAATTTTGAAAGTAAAACTTATTCAGTATAAAGTTTTCTGCTTTAAATATTTTTATAAAAGACACATTCTAAGAATTTTTGATACAACCCAAGATAAAGCAATATAAGAACAACTAACATAGCACATAAGGTCAACATATTTGGGCAGTATTTATTATTTTTACTGCATATGAATATCAAGAAATGATATATGTAGTATTTATTCTTCCTGTAAAACAATCAATTAACAGAGTAATCAGATTCATTTAGTAGTTTGACTTATCTATGTAGATGAAAAAATGTCAAAAGGACAAAATGAGCCTAATGTGATGGCATCACACTGCAAAATTGCAGTTTTTTCATTTTTTTGTATACATCACTTTAACTTAATTTATTAAGACAGCAAACATGATGTTGATAACCCCCACACCATCATTTTCAATTCATTCTTACATAAATGTTTACAGCAATAGCATCAAATATTCTGAGGATGGAATTTCTAGAAATCACAATTAAAAAAGTGACAAAAATGCATTTTTACAGACATTTTTTCATGCATTCTATACAAGTATACACCTATCTAATATAATTGATTGATTGTAACTCTGGAAGTAAAAATGCTACATGTATCATTTTTTCAAAACAAGTTCTAAATGCATAAAAAATATCATAAAAAACTATAATACTCCTGAATTACATAAACTTCGCCTTATAGCCAATACCACAACATTAAACAGAGCGTTTTCATTTCATGAATTGTGACAAACATTTAACATACTTTTTGTCATTCATAGTGACACATTAAGGCTCTATTGAGTTTGAAACTTTTCAATATTTTATATAATTTGCCTCCTTAAATATTGGTCATGGTTGAAGGTTATTCAAAAAACACATTGTAGTATGAAATCAAGTAACAGCTCTGTTTAGTATATACCATAGCCATCCATAAAACTAGGATGTAATAAAATACTAATTTTAATGCAGAAATTGTAGATAATATATTAGATATTTGTATATCAACTTAATTGACTATGCACATAAACAAAATGAGTCACTTAAAAAAAAACAATAACTAAAAGACATAAGTGAGAAGCAAATCTAAGGAAAGGGGGATATTTCTCCTATAGTCTGCTCATCAAAATTAATTTAAAATTGCCATCTTGTAAACTATGTGATGTTGCATACATGTATATTGGTGGATATCATTAGGGATATACTGTTTAAACTTGCCTGATAAGAAAAAACATTGAATGCTTATTATGAGAAGCCTAGCTTTAAAAGGATGAGATCTTCTAGTATTATTGAAAATATTTAGATGCTATTGCAACAGCCTACAAAATATCAGTGTTATTCATTCACGCTTGTTCCTGAATATAACTAATTAAAAATTTTACATTGGATAGTGTAAAACCCTCACATTAGCTCACATCAGCTAAGTAACTTAAAGACACACGGAGAAAGGCAAATCTCAAATATCCTTCTAAATCTCCCACCCACTATTAAATGTCATTATGATATGTATTTCTACATACAACCATCTATTTGATATACACTGGATATATCTCCAAATGCTGTTCACAATCTGTGTACTCAAAAAGTTAATAATATCAAAAAAAGTGTTGTCATGGATTTATGAGATGCTTTTGCTTAGGATAGGTGGTATATAAATGGGTAATCTGAAAGATTTAAAAAAAATATTACTATCAAGTATGTGGAACTGAATCTGATTGGTAAAATTATTTCTTATAGTTTTCATAAAGAAAGCTTGGTTATCATTATACAGAAATTAAATACATTTGTAACTCAAATTGATATGAAGTGATTTATAATTCTCAGGCAATTTGCTCAAATTTGGGGATGTTTATGATATTTTGAAGAGCATGTAAAATTACTTCAGAAAATCCTTAATTTAAACAGTAACATTTTAACATTTTAGAGATGTAGTTTTTTGATAATCAGGTGAAGATATATAGGTTACGCATAAAATTAGTCAGAAAAAAACCTGTTTTTAACCTTGTATTAAGGCATAAATTTGAATTATCTATTAAGATAACTAGAGGTTCTAAAGAACCTGTGTAGCTCACCTAGGTCTATTTATATCTTCAAAGATGGACACTCTCAAACATTGTAGACTAGCATATAATTCATGACAAAATATCTTTTTGTTGAACTTATATTGCTGATCATATTTCTATTTATCATCTTATCTTCTATACTTTTTGGCCAAAACAATAAAAAGGGAAAAAAAAAACTTGTCATTTAAGGGCAATTACTTCTATAATAAGACAACTGACAATTTCATCTGTGCTGACCTAGTTGCAGATCTTGTCTTGCTAATCATATTTGCTTTTTAAAGGTTCTATATTTGTATTATAGTTTTCAAGATAATAAGCAAAAGTGTAAAAAGTTGGTCAAATATGTGATTAAAGGGCAATAACTTAAATAAGTAGTTGATTGACCAATTTTGGTCATGTTGACTTATTTGTAAATCTTGTCTTGCTGACCAGTTTTGATATCTAAAGTTTCTGACTATCTATTATAATTTTTAAGATGATAGGCAAGAATGAAAAATTTGGTAAAATTTGCCATTTAAGATAGCGGTTTTCAAGATAATAGACAAAACTTTAATTTAAACCATATGTTTTATTTTAAGCCATGTCTACCATGTTGGTTGGCAGGCAGGGTCATCAGATACATTTTTGAAAACTAGATTCCCCATTAATGATTTTGGCTAAGTTTGGTTAAAATTGGTCTAGTATTTTCAGAGGATCAGTTTTATGTAAAAGTTGAGGGATGAAGACGGACCACAGATGCCAAGTGATGAGAAAAGCTCACATGGCCCTGTGGGCCAGATGAGCTAAATTCATGTGGTATAACTGCATTGAAAATCCTTGGAATTTTCCATCAATGGTTTGATGTAAATAAAAGTTATAAAATGTTAAATGTAAAGTCTTGATTAATTACCAAATAAAAATTCCTAAAATTTTGACATTAAAAGGGAAATGTTTCAAATTGAAACTGGCCTTTAAGACACACATAACATTTTGATTAAAAAATAAAATGCCCAAATACATTTAGATATACAAATTCAAATCCAAGAACATAAAATAAACACTAAAAAACTTGCCAATAGGCATATTTAGTGTTTTCTTGTATAAATAAAAGCAATACACAATATATCACAGATAATTGAAAATACATTAAATTAACAAATCAAACAGATTCAAACAACATTCATATATCAATTATGTTAATATCCTTCATACATATATTTTTATGATGTACCCTAAATAATAAAAAAATTCGTAAGGGTTCCGCGGAACCCAGTGTCTCGCCTACTTTTGCTGTTAATCACAGGCTCAACAAAAATGAGGAAAAAAATTAATAACAAGAGTGCACACGCTGAAATGTCTCGCCTTCTTTACTAATCATTGATATTATGTTGATAGTCCTAAATATAAAGCTTTATTACAACTGTCACATAAACTTAACATTAACCAAGTAAACTAAACATTGACCAATGAACCATGAAAATGAGGTCAAGGTCAGATGAACCATGCTAGGCAGGCATGTACAGCTAACAATTCTTCCATACAACAAATATAGTTGACCTATTGCTTATAGTTTAAGAAAAACAGACCAAAACACAAAAACTTAACACTGAGCAATGAACCTTGAAAATGAGGTCAAGGTCAAATAAAACCTTCGTGACTGACATATAGATCATAAAATATTTCCATACACCAGGAACATATATATTGACGGGACTTGACACTACCTGATTGTAGTCGATTTTATCGTCGTGCCATAGTTAATAAAGATACGATACAGAAACGGACATGTGTTAAAAACGGACTCGCTATTATCCTAATAATTTCTGATATTATCAATAAAATGTCATTCAAACTAGTTTTATAGTGATGCTAGCGTATCAAACTTGTATTCTGTCACTTCAAATTTGTTAAAATCGCAAGCATTTCATCACAGAATTGTGCAGAATGCAAACCAGGTAATAAAAAAATGGCGGCCATTGCCGCGATGATTTACAAATTCCCAAACTATTATAAAACACTTCACATCAAATAAATCAAACTTATTTTGGTAATTTTATATGACAAAATATATCTACTAAATGATAAAACTTGTATTTATTTACAATTAGAGTTATGTGGTTTATTTGTTGAGCAGTTCTGATAGTTTTTCAGTCAGACGCTACCAAAATCCGTAAATCTCGGGAAGTCTCGGGGAGTCCGAGAGTTTATCAATTTTATACTGAAAAGCGTATCAGATTCATTTCCCGTTAGATATACTGTTCCCAGCATACACCAAATATAGTTGAACTATTGCATATAGTATTAGAAAAAAAGACCAAAACTCAAAAACTTAACTTTGACCACTGAACCATGAAAATGAGGTCAAGGTAAGATGACACCTGCCAGCTAGACATGTACACCTTACAATCATTCCATAAACCAAATATAGCTGACCTATTGCATGCAGTATTAGAAAAAAAGACCAAAACTCAAAAACTTAACTTTGACCACTGAACCATGAAAATGAGGTCAAGGTCAGATGACACCTGCCAGCTAGACATGTACACCTTACAATCATTCCATACACCAAATATAGTAGACCTATTGCATACAGTATAAGAAAAACAGACCAAAACACAAAAACTTAACTATAACCACTGAACCATGAAAATGAGGTCAAGGTCGGATGACACCTGCCAGTTGGACATGTACACCTTACAGTCCTTCCATACACCGAATATACTAGACCTATTGCTTATAGTATCTGAGATATGGACTTGACCACGAAAACTTAACCTTGTTCACTGATCCATGAAATGAGGTCGAGGTCAAGTGAAAACTGTCTGACGGGCATGAGGACCTTGCAAGGTACGCACATACCAAATATAGTTATCCTATTACTTATAATAAGAGAGAATTTAACATTACAAAAAATCTGAACTTTTTTTTTCAAGTAGTCACTGAACCATGAAAATGAGGTCAAGGAGATTGGACATGTGACTGACGGAAACTTCGTAACATGAGGCATCCATATACAAAGTATGAAGCATCCAGGTCTTCCATCTTCTAAAATATAAAGCTTTTAAGAAGTTAGCTAACGCCGCCGCCGCTGCCGCCGTAGCCGCCGCCGCCGGATCGCTATCCCTATGTCGAGCTTTCTGCGACAAAAGTCGCAGGCTCGACAAAAATATTCCTCTCTATACTATCTTTTGATTGTAAGTAGCTTCTGTCCAAGTTTGGTAAAAATCCAGGATAGTTTATGAATCTAATAAATGTTTTAAAATAAAAACTTAAACTGCAGACTGTTATGTAATGTTAACTGGAAGAAAAACTAAGTCCATTTATAAGTAAAATACGGAAAAAATGGAACAAAATTTTAACAAAATTTCCTTTTAGATACTAGCTTTTAATCATAAACAAGCTTCTGTCCAAGTTTAGTACAAATCCAGGATAGTTTAAGAAAGTTGTTAAAATTTCAAAAACTTTAACCACAGAGTGAATGTAATGTTAACTGGCAGAAAAACTAAGTCCATTTATAAGTAAAATACGAAAAAAATGGAATTTTTTTTTTACAAAATTTACTCCTGGAAACTATCTTATGATCACAAACAAACTTCTTTCCAAGTTTGGTACAAATCCAGGATAGTTTAAGAAAGTTATTAAAATTTCAAAAACTTTAACCACAGAGTGAATGTAATGTTTCCTGGCAGAAAAACCATTTATAAGTAAAATACGGAAAAAATGGAATTTTTTTTTTACAAAATTTACTTTTGAATATTATCTTATGATCATAAACAAGCTTCTGTCCAAGTTTGGTAGAAATCCAGGGTAGTTTAAGAAAGTTATTAAAATTTCAAAAACTTTAACCACAGAGTGAATATTTGTGGACGCCGCCGCCGCCACCGGAATGTAGGATCGCTATGTCTCGCTTTTTCGACAAAAGTCGAAGGCTCGACAAAAATGATTAAAAAAACAAAAATAAAGAAGTTTTAAATATTCCGGTTCCACAATAAGGCTACTTTCAGCCTCTTGTTTTTCAAACCCACATTATGAGTAAAGGGTTAACAGAACTTTCTTGTTTCAGTTTTATCACTTACAGAATGTTCACACCTCTGTTGAAGATATGCATTACTCCTCAGATTTGAATAATTTTTTCACAACCAGGCATATGTATTGGCCTTGTCAATTTCTATAAATATATAGATTATGTGTATACTGTTTTTCGGCTAATCTATTTTAAAGTTTTCCACAATTTTTCCTTTCAAGGCTACATTTTATGCAACCTCTAATCTAAAAAGTTGAAAAAAGGCTTTAAAAAGTTTTTGTTAACCACTAAAATTCAAGGCTGACCTTTTACTCACAAAAATAAGTACCCAATGTATAATACTTAATTCAAATATACAATTTATAACTGAATTTTTTTTGTATAGTGCTTTCTTAACTGATAAATTAAGCCATATAGGTGATTTTTTTTTTCTGTTGAACTTGTAAGTGATAAATTAAACACAACCTGTTTAAAGCTAAATAATACATTTTGGTAATTTTCAATAGATTTACTTTGGAATGTTACGTTTGATTACACATTTGTGTATTGTGTGGTGAGCATATCTGTGAGTAAAATGGAATGGTTCCTTGTGTTGTCTGTCGTAATTCTATTGTAGACTTGTAATATGTCAAAAATATCTGACCACATCCTGTACATGTATTTATTTCTGTCATTATATCTGAAATGAAAATGAACAATAAAGTAAATGAGAAATACGAAGTAAGTGAATTTTACAAGTTTATAACCCCTAGGTCCCCAGTTTGAATCAGTGGCGGATCCAGAGGGGGGTGTAGAGGGCGTATCCCCCCCCCCCCGCCCCCCTTTTGCTTGCACTTTTTTTTTTTTTTTTTTTAAATGATTAATCAGACTAGACTTCGTGAACTTTGCCATTTCCCGTGTATTTCATTTTTATGCGACAATTCTTTACTTATAAAGATATTTTTCGCTCGTATTTACTGTAATATATTACTGATTATGTCAAAGTCATGTGATTCACTACGGTGGAGTTGACCAGTGCGTCGAAAAAAACGTCACTCAGAAATTCAAATTTCGGTAACACATTGCTTAGGCTGAGGATGATAAGCATGACACCTTCAAAGCGACAAAGGATTGAGCAAGAACGTATTGACTTCTATTTCACAATTCCACCAAACAGAAAGTAATACTCTATTACACTCTCATGAAAAAAAAATTCCACAGCAGTATTATTTACCTTCGAAAACATGTTTAACCTCACATGCCCCAGCCTATTAATAACATAGCTGAATAATGATCCTCAGTTAGTAAGCTATAGATAGATTTAAAGTCTAAGGTACGGACCATTTGATTTGAGGGGACAGTCTGAGATATTTGAGAGAAAAAATTCTGACCCTGATTTTTGCCTTAAACAAAACTTCTGGCCGTATCAAGATTGAAAACAATAATCTTGTCCACTATTTTGCTATTAGAAACAAAAATTTCCAACAGAATTATTTAGCATTAAATGAACATGATGAATAAAAAACGGGCGTAATTTTTTTGGGGCCGGGGGTTTGCATGTAAATCCCATATCTAACTGGAATGTCTGTTTCGCCGAACTGATATTTTGAATACTTTTTTCAAGGCCTGACTGCAACCTGCCTGCTGAGTGTGGCCTTTATGTCGCCACTTGTCGACCGTCATTCATAAATTCGTTGTCATTTCAGACTCATTCGTAGCCTTTGGTTGATTTGGAACCCCTCACTTCCCTTGTTGGGTGAAACATTTCAACCAAACATTTGGATAAAAATTGCTTGTTTGTCTTTTTTAAGTTAATAACTCGTGTCAGTCGTATTGTAAATGTCATTGAATAGCCCGGCGTATATCTTGTTTACAACAAGAAATCTGTGAAGTTATGCTAACTAAACATACAACAAACGAGTATTTTCCATGTCCATTTTTTACTGACAAGTCCCACATCAAATATATTAGTACATAGCCGTTTGGATCCAATCATTTTATAATAGACAATTAATGGGGATAATACGGCATCAAAAATGTCCAACCTTTAACTACTAGTATAAAATATACATGCCTCACGTCAGGAACCGTTTAAAAAGTGCATTTTACACTTATTTTATGTTTTTTAGCCAAAAAAAGGTCCAAAATTTTTTTAACTTAACATAATTGGCCCCCCTTTCCAAAATCCTGGATCTGCCCCTGTGAATACCGGTAGATATTGAAAAGTCCATATTTTGATGTGATAATTTCCCAGAAATCCAGTCAGTTCTTTAGGATGATACAGAAAAAAGATGCATATCCCCTACTGCAAGTATGGCAACATCCATGTTTTTCTTATGCTTATAAAACTGGGAGGCAAGGATATTTCCTTTTTTTTTTCTTAAGTTAGAAATAAGATAAATTTAAACATGTCATGAATTCTAGTACTGCTCTATCTTAATAAATATTATTTACTAACCTTGTAATGTTTGTGGGAGAATATCAATTTTGTAGTTCCCATGGTTACATATGAATCTTAAAGCCTTCTCCAGCAATGATGGGAATAGATTATTTGGAGTATGTACTTCAATCACACTGTCTTCTAAGAGGAATGGATTATCTGAAACTGAAAAATAAGACCTGTCTTGAGAGACGATCCATTTACAAGATCTATTGATTTCACCACAGAGATTAAAGTTTTGTCCTGGTTATTTTCTAAATTGTAGTTTATGCTTAATATACTGGTACATTGGAAAGTTGTGTTATTAAGCAATAATACAACAAAATGAAGAGCGAATCAACTAAACATCATTGAGATCGGAGCCATCTCTGTGGGCCCCACTGTGAATAACATGTTGTAAAAAATTTGTATCTTTACCATAGGACAAGGGGTTGTCAACTGAAACCAAAGTTTTTGACCTAGGAAGTTGTACATACATTATGACACACCCTCTGGTGTTGGTTAATATACATGTCAAGTATAAACTTTAATATCATAATGGTTTTCAAGATATAGAGCGGACATGATCTTTACCATAGGACATGGAGTTGTCAACTGAAACAAAAGTTTTTTACCTTGACCTTTGACCTAGGAAGTTGTACATACATTATGACTGGTTAATATACATGTCAAGTATAAACTTTGAAATCATAACCGTTCTCAAGATATAGAGCGGACACGATCGTTACCATAGGACATGGGGTTGTCAACTGAAACCAAAGTTTTTGACCTAGGAAGTTGTACATACCATATGACTGGTTAATATACATGTCAAGTATAAACTTTGAAATCATAACGGTTCTCAAGATATGGAGCGGACACGATCTTTTCCATAGGACATGGGGGTTGTTAACTGAAACCAAAGTTTTTACCTTGACCTTTGACCTAGGAAGGTGTACATACATTATGACACACCCTCTGGTGTTGGTTAATATACATGTCAAGTATAAACTTTGAAAATATAACGGTTCTCAAGATATAGAGCAGACACGATCTTTACCATAGGACATGGGGTTGTCAACTGAAACCAAAGTTTTTGACCTTGACCTTTGACCTAGGAAGTTGTACAAACATTATGACACACCCTCTGGTGTTGGTTAATATACATGTCAAGTATAAAGTATGAAATTATAACGGTTCTCTAGATACAGAGCGGACACAATTTGTTACGGACGGACAGACTGATCACTATAGGGCGACATGCCATTCAGCGGGGCCCTAATTAAATTTCACATTCAATATTTCCTGGTTATTTACTATAATTACGTATACACCAAAAGGACATTAATGTCAGTTGTTGAAGATTAAAACTATAAATATAAATATATTGCATTTCTATATTTACAGTCTGAGGTTTGTTGAGTACCAACTTATAGCAAGTTCACTTCCATCACACTCTAACAGATCTTAACTGGATTTGGCTGTAAAAGTTTGGTCCTTTTTGGTTTTTGTAAAATTGTTTTATAAATTCATTTGATTTTCCAAACTACTAGCTCAAGTGTATCTAATGAAGGCTAATTCAGAGCAATGATGTGCAGAAAAAATACACATTTTTTACCTGAGATACTGTCATATCTATCAACTTTTAATGTAGATGGAAGGTACTGTAGTTTGTTATTATTGAGTTGTAGATTCTTTAAACTGGGAAGCCGTCCTATTTCAACAGGTAGCACAGACAAGCTGAAATTTAAATTTTTAAGATTTCATATTGATAGGTTGTTAAAGTATTGAAATTTTAATTTCAACATTTGTATTATACATGTGTTATCAAAATTACATACAGGCGAGACTTATTTCTGTGTCAACAGTTTATTTTAAAGATGCAAGTAAATTCACAGTACTATATGCTTTAAACCAATTTATTTTCGTGCATACTTTATTTCGCGTTAAGTTCTTTCTAGCCAACTTCGCGAGCTTCTCATTTTCTTGATATATTGATATATCTATATAAGGGAAGATCCAAGTTTCACATATTTGAGACTATTTAAATTCACAATAAACTGCTTTGCCTAGCACAGCTGGATACAACCGCAGAGGTCCAACCCTGAATAGTAAGGGCAAAAATGTACACAATATTCAAGCTTGATACAGGTCTGAAATTGGATTGTAATTAAATATTTGACACATTATAGGTTTCTGACACAGAATAAATGTAGTCAAAGAACTTGAAATTGGTTATATGATTTTAATTTATATTCAATTGAAGATTTCTTGCTTTTGTGCAATACACTGTGCTGTTGCGCAATACTTAGTAAATCTGTTTTCAGACTATATACAAAGAATAAGCAAAATAAATTGTGACCACCAATTTTTCTTTGGAAATTGACAATTTCTTAAATCTTGAGGGAAAAAAAATTGCCCCCCCCCCCCCTCAAAAAAAATTGCCCCCCCCCCCCCCCCCCTCAAAAAAAATTGTTTTGCCTCCCCCCCCCTTTTTATAAAAAAAAAAAAAAACATTTGAAGAATTTTTCTATTTGTAAAATGTGGTACAATTTAGGATAAATCCATACACTTAAACACAAGTTATTGCATTAAATTTTAAAAAAATTCTTGTTTTAGAACCTTTTTGGCCCCTAATTTCCTGGACGGTTTGGGCAACTACCCCCAAAATGAATCCCAACCTTCTACTTGTGGTATTGAACCTTGTGGTACAATTTCAGAGCAATCACAATACTTAAACACAAGTTATTGTCCTGAAACTAGAAAAATGCTTGTTTTGGCCCCTAATTCCTAAACGATTGGGACCATCCCCCCAAAAACAATCCCAACCTTCCTTTTGTGGTATTGAACCTTTTGTTAAATTTTATAGAGATCCATACACTTAAACTAAAGTTATTGTCCGGAAACCAAATGTCTTCGGACGATGAGCACATGATAGCATTATACGACCCCAAAATTTTTTGTGGTCGTATAAAAACAAATTGCAAACATACTATGTCAATGAACCAGATATCATTGACCTACCCCTTAGTGGTTCCCCTTAAACTGACGTTATCATAAACTTTAAAAAGTAAACTATGCAAAACGTTCAGTCAATAGACCATGACTTAGGGCGCAAGGCCAAGTAGCCTCAAAGGAAATGAGAAATGTCAATGCTTTGAAACTGCATACCAATTGACTTATCCTAAGTGTTTCCCTTTAAACAGACTTAAACGCAGACTTTAACATGTTAACTGCAAAAGTTTCAATCAAATAAACCATGATGAGGGGGCAGGGCTATACAATCTCTATGGAAATGAGATGTGTAAATGTAAATACAACTGCATACCAAATAGCATTGACTTGACATTAGGGGTTCAGCTTAATCTGACCTAATCACAAACTTTAACATGTAAACTATGTAAAAGTTTCAAAGTCATTTAGACAAATTCCATGTAAATTAAATTATCTACTAGGTTTAGAACTCTGTCACAATTGTTTAGCAGAATTTTTACACAACTGTGGACAATATGAAGAATTTATCAACATTCTAGTTTCAGAGGGAAAAAAATTCAAAACTGAACAATTGCCTACACCATCTATGATTTAGCCTGATTAGGATAAAAAAAAAATTTTACATTAAGGACTTCCTTTTGCAAATTTGGTTATAAGGTTATTCGTGTAAATTTAGAGTTAAAGACAAAATGTGATAGTTCAAATGATTCGTAGGATTCACAGGAAGACATGTGGCTTTTATGTTCTAAACATATCCCCAACCTTCAGCAAGAGAATCTCTAGTGGAGGGACCCCAAATCATCATTCCTAAAAAGATTTGACCATAGTAGTTCCAGAGGAGGCAGAATTCTTGATACTTTAGTTCTGTTTCTCAAAACTGTAATTGTTTGTAAACAATGTTGTACATTACTTTCAAAAGTTTAACAGGTATTATTCAATTATCATATAGATACAATAAGTATGACACACACATGGGTGGTCCAATACTTTTTTATTTAATGTAGGATTGGAACTATCTAATTTGTTACATGTTTTAAATATTTGTACAATTTTAAGGTCAATACAGCATAAACATTACTATTTGTACTCACTAATTGTTTGACAAATTTAGTGTCTCCAAATTCGGACAATAACAAATACCCTTTGGAATGTTGTGTAGATCACATGATGAGACATCTAATTCATGAAGATGTATCATATTTCTGATTTCATCAGGGAGACTAGAAACAGGGTTATTATGTAGCACCAAAATCTGAAATATGAATTTATCCATGTTCTAAGGCATACAATATTTTATTTATGGTATTAAGTTCCTTCAGCTGTATAATAACACTTAAAAAAAAAGATCCACAAGAACTTAGAAGTGCAAAGGATCCCAAATCACTTACTAAACAGTGCCAAATTTACCAGGTTGGTGTTATTTGCTACCATCTGAGCACCAAAATGCAGTTTACCAATTGAAAAACATTGTTCATAAGAAATTAGGGCAGAATTTCCCTGTTTTACCGGTAAGCCTTATCAAGCAGTTTTTAGACATTATCCTAATACCTGCTAACAAATATACAAGATGTACATGTATAGCATGAAATTCATAAGTCAAATGGTCATAATTATGTCAAAAGTTGGTCAAACATTCCTAGGAACATTTTGTCAAACAGAAATTTATATGTGCTCAATATCAACAGAGATAAAAGAACAGTGGAGAAAACCATTACTTTCATGAAATTTTCTTAATCTATTTGCTGTAAAAAGTTGAAATGTAGGTCAACCAGATAAAAACTCATATGTGATCTGGAACCACTCAACTGCTAAAACATCAAATGTCAGCTATTAACAAAGGGCTGACGAGAAAGCAGAAAGTTGTCATTTTGAGGACATCATTCCTTTTTTAAATTAGATATTTCAAAACTAAAGATTTGAATTTTAATAAAATTCTAGAAAAAAGAAGTCATTCAGGCGTAAAAAGTAGGTAACGCAGACCTACATTTGATTTTGAAAACTAAATCATTATCATACATATACATGCGCATCTGTAACATTCTTTGAAGCAAACAAACAATACATAGTTTAATTGAAGTGTGGAGCTGGCAAGTCAGTAACTGCTAGTAGTCCTTTGTTAATTTATGTTTATCATTGTCATTTTGCTTAGTTTCTTCTGTTACATCGGACTCAGACTTCTTTTAAACTGAGTTTTACTGTGCGTTTTGCTGTGTGTTTGTTTATTCCAAATTGGCTAGAGGTATAGGAGAGGGTTGAGATCTCACAAAATAAGTTTAATCCTGCCACATTTTTGTAGACCCATTGACGACCCATTGATGGCCTTAAGCTGTTTTCTGTTCTTTGGTCAGGTTGTTGTCTCTTTGACACATTACCCGTTTCTTTTCTCTATTCTATAACATATGTTAATTTGTTTAAATATATATTAATGATCAACTTTACCTCAAGATGTCCAAGTGAGGAACGCTTTAGGTTGAAGTATTTGAGTTTATTGTATCTGAAAATAAACAATTAAATTGTTTTTGAATACTGCAAATTCAGAAATAATTGCGCTGTTTTTATTAATGACTAAAAGGCATCAATTTTAAGTTCGCAATAATAAAAACTTCATTCATAATTTCAGTAATGATTTTCATTCATAAAATATTGCAATCAGAATTATTAGATTTCTCATTTTTGCCTGAGGTCAAAGATTCACAATAATAAATGCACACATTAATTTCTGAATTTACAGTTCTTGTAATTATACAATATCTTCATAAGAATATATTCAAATTAATGTGTTTGCCTTGTTGGATTCCTTAACATTCTGTATTCAATCATCATTTTTTACACATGTTAACATCATTACTAATCAATTCATGGAAAATGCTTCCATTTTTTATTCTTGAAAGAGAACATATATGAATTCTTTTTTGTATTCTACTGTTGATTGATAATATTTTAAGGGTACAAATTTTATGGTTTAACAAATTTTGGAGTTTGGGATTCTAAATCTTTAGGTTTGGTCATTCAACAAAAGCCCCTAAAACAAGATGTTATATGAGTTATTGCTGTTGTTACAAAAATATTGTTTGAAGTAACTCAAAAATATGATTTCAATTTGAAAAATGCAATCGGCATATAGGAGGTAGATAAATTAATACTAGAGGCTCTAAAGAGCCTGTGTCGCTCACCTTGGTCTATGTGCATATTAAGCAAAGGACACAGATGGATTCATGACAAAATTGTGTTTTAGTGATGGTGATGTGTTTGTAGATCTTACTTTACTGAACATTCTTGCTGCTTACAATTATCTCTATCTATAATGAACTTGGCCCCAGTAGTTACAGTGGAAAATATTTTGTAAAAATTTACAAAAATTTACAAAATTTATGAAAATTGTAAAAAGTTGACTGTAAAGGGCAATAACTCCTTAAGGGGTCAATTGACAATTTTGGTCATGTTGACTTATTTGTAGATCTTACTTTGCTGTACATTATTGCTGTTTACAGTTTATCTCTATCTATAATAATATTCAAGATAATAACCAAAAGCTGCAAAATTTTCTTAAAATTACCAATTCAGGGGCAGCAACCCAACAACGGGTTGTCCGATTCATCTGAAAATTTCAGGGCAGATAGATCTTGACCTGATTAACAATTTTACCCCAGTCAGATTTGCTCTAAATGCTTTGGTTTCAGAGATATAAGCCAAAATCTACATTTTACCCCTATGTTCTATTTTTAGCCATGGCGCCCATCTTGGTTGGTTGGTCGGGTCACCGGACACATTTTTTAAACTAGATACCCTAATGATGATTGTGGACAAGTTTGGTTAAATTTGTCTTAGTAGTTTCAGAGGAGAAGATTTTTGTAAAAGATTACTAAAATTTACGAAAAATGGTTAAAAATTGACTATAAAGGGCAATAACTCCTTAAGGGGTCAACTGACCATTTTGGTCATGTTGACTTATTTGTAGATCTTACTTTGCTGAACATTATTGCTGTTTACAGTTTATCTCTATCTATAATAATATTCAAGGTAATAACCAAAAATGGCAAAATTTCCTTAAAATAACCAATTCAGGGGCAGCAACCCAACAACGGGTTGTCCGATTCATCTGAAAATTTCAGGGCAGATAGATCTTGACCTGATTAACAATTTTACCCCAGTCAGATTTGCTCTAAATGCTTTGGTTTCAGAGATATAAGCCAAAATCTACATTTTACCCCTATGTTCTATTTTTAGCCATGGCGCCCATCTTGGTTGGTTGGTCGGGTCACCGGACACATTTTTTAAACTAGATACCCCAATGATGATTGTGGCTAAGTTTGGTTTAATTTGGTCAAGTAGTTTCAGAGGAGAAGATTTTTGTAAAAGTTAACGACAACGGACGCCGACGACGACGGACGACAAGTGATGAGAAAAGCTCACTTGGCCCTATGGGCCAGGTGAGCTAAAAAGGGAAAATGCAACATTCATTATAGATTATTCAGATAAATATAGATTTTTACCAAATCACAGATTAAGATATGTATCCCTTAAAATAGTAAAATTTTCAAACTTTAGATAGATATTGTAGTCAATGTTGTAGAATCTATGTCTCTAACAATTTTATTGAAAATGCAGAGTGCCATTTTCCAGAAGGATATGGTTGGAAATTACAATAGACAAATTTAATCAACATGAGGTTTACCAAAATTTATCTAACTGATCAGAACCAGTTTAAATGCAGACAGATTTAGAGAAGACTTGGTCCAAAATATCAGATAAATACATATTTTATAAGTTTTCATCATAACTTAAGGCAGCTTCTTAATTTTAACTGCATATATAGCTGGATTGCTGTCTCCTTCATGTATATCTCATAACTTTATAGAAGAAATAACGTTTTGAAGCATATTTGACCCTTTAATTTCACAACCACAATAAAAATATTGTATGATACTGTTAGCAATCACAATTGTTAAGCTTAAAAAATTTATAAAATTACTTACTCTAAATACAATTTAACAAGACAATGTAGCTGACCAATACACTTTGGTATATCTTCCATGTTATTATGGTCAGCTTTAAGCACTTTTAAATTTTGCAAGGAACAGATAGTATCTGAAAACAAGATTTATTTAGGATAACTAGTTAGTAAATATTTCGTGTATTTATATTTTGAACAAAAAAGTTGCCAACACAATCCTTCAAGAATTACACATATATTTAGGTTGAAGTATTTGAGTTTATTGTATCTGAAAATAAACAATTAAATTGTTTTTGAATACTGCAAATTCAGAAACAATTGCGCTGTTTTTATTAATGACTAAAAGGCATCAGTTTTAAGTTCGCAATAATAAAAACTTCATTTATTTGATGTAAATATTCTAGTAACACTTTATCAGATTTAATTTTTCTTAGTAAATTATCTTCATTAACAGAGAATAACAAATGAATTAAAAATCAATGTACATTGAAAAAATAACCAACATGATGTACATAAATCAGGCTGTTAGTTTCCTCATTTGAATTGTTTTACATTTGTCATTTCAAAGCCTTTTACAGCCTAGTATGCAGTGTGGTTTTTGCTCAATGTTGAAGGCCATATGGTGACTATAGTTGTTAACTTCTGTCATTTGGTCTCTGGTAATGAGATGTCTCATTGGCAATCATACCACATCTTCTTATTTTCATATATACAAGTCAGGTACAGAGGACATACAAAACAAGAATGTGTCCATAGTACACGGATGCCCCACTCACACTATCATTTTCTATGTTCAGTGGACCTTGAAATTGGGATCAAAACTCTAATTTGGCATTAAAATTAGAAAGATCATATCATAGGGAACATGTGTACTAAGTTTCAAGTTGATTGGACTTCAACTTCATCAAAAACTACCTTGACCAAAAACTTTAACCTGAAGCGGGACAGACGGACAGACGGACGGACGAACGGACGCATAGACCGAAAAACATAATGCCCCTAGGTGGGGCATAAAAACCAAACAATCACCAAGGGAACAATTGGCCAGTCATAGTCCTAACTTTATACAAACACTTGAAAGTTGAACAAGATTTTACAACATGTCAGAAATTCCATTGAATAACAGCCACTTAAGTTCCAACAAACTATGAAACTTCGATTTAATTTAATCAATTCTGCTTAGGTTAATTTTATAAAACAGTACAACTCCTACTATCTATAAGATGTGATGTATAAAATTGTCCTTATCTATTATATTTATTTTATGTTTATAAGTTGTGTCATAAAATATCAACACTTCCATAGAAAGCTAACAAAAGCTTCTTTCCAGACACTGTTTTTTTCAGTTTTCCAAATGACAAGGGAATTCATGGTACAATAGTGTTATCTTCTGGAAGCAATCACTTATGTTGATTTTCTTCTTAGTAATGGGCATAATACCTGAATGGTACAAGTCAACATAGAGAAGCTCTAAACTGACCATAACTGTAATGAACATACTGTAAAAGAAGTCATCTGTTTCTGATGGAACAAATGGTTGAAAGAACAAAGGTAGGAGTATTTGCTATTCAATATACTCCTTGTATATAAGTTTACTCAAGGCTTTGCACTAACTTATTATTCTGTACTGTTCATAAACTTGCTATATCAAATCTACTTTGTAGTACAGCAGCTGATAAATGAGTGCAAGAAAGCATGCTTTCTATATTAGCAGATTAAATACTCCAAGCTAGCTTTCAGTTACTATGAACATTATTATGCAGTTTTATATTCACTTGTAGTTGCATTTTTTCTGTTGTCTTTTTTTTAGTTAAAAAGATTTCTCAGTTCTTATTTTCTCTGTGTTTTTTGTTATTCCACTGATCAAGATAATGTTAAAAATGAGGAGAATTTAGTTATCATCAAACTAGTTTAACCATTTCACATGCTTACATGCATTTCACAACTAAAAGTCATGAACCTCATCCATGTTTGTCTCAGATTACATATTGTTTGTTCTTTTTTCATTCACGATTTGGTCTGTATGGCTTGTGTAGACTTGCAAGTTTGAGTTTAATTATTGGTAAAGACATTTGTCTAATGTAAATGATTTTTAATTCATTTGTTATTCTCTGTTAATGAATACTTTGGCAAAACTATTATTGACCATAAAATACAATTTTGGTTTTATTGTGATGTTGGATTGCTGTTTCACTGATGTACCGGTATAACCCCAATTTATTTTTGCAAGCAATTTATTCACACAACTCTGGTGATCAAAAATTATTCATAAAATAAATTGTAAAGAATATTTCAAACTTCTAATTCTTTAATATGAATACATCAACAAAGACAGAAAATTGCAAAAATAAATTGCCCTGAAGTCAGCTAGGAATACAGTATCTGCTAAAATAAATTGACCATAACTCAGCAACATGAATGAAGTATCTGCAAAAACAAATTGCCCTAAAGTCAGCTAGAGAGGGCTAAACATGAATGGAGTATCTGCAAAAAAGAATTGCCCTGAAGTCAGCTAGAAAGGGCTTAACATAAATAAAGTATCTGCAAAATTTTTTTTTCCTGAAGTCATCTAGAAAGGGCTAAACTTGAATAAAGTATCTGCAAAAATAAAATTCCCTGAAGTCAGCTAGAAAAGGCTAAACTTGAATAAAGTATCTGCAAAAATAAATTGTCCTGAAGTCATCTAGAAGTGACTAAACATGAATAAAGTATCTGCAGAAATTAATTGCCCTGAAGTTATCTATAAGAGGCTAAACATGAATAATGTATCTGCAAAAATAAATTGCCCTGAAGTCAGCTAGGAAGGGCAAAACATGAATAAAGTATGTGCAAAAATAAATTGGTTTACAGTAAATTAAAATCAAAGACACTTTTGAGTAACTGATTAAAAACTTCATTGTCTTACCTGGTAATGTATATATTTGATTATATGATAAGTTGAGTGATTCTAGGTTGACTAGTGATCCAAGAGAATCCTGAAATATAAAGATAAACTGTTAATACAGAGATATGTCTCGCCTATTTGTTATTTTGATAATGCAAATGTTGGAATTAAAATAGCAATACTTTAACATGTAAGTTATGCAACTATTCAAAGTCAATGAACCATGACTGAAGGTACAGGGCTAAACAATCTCCATGGAAATGAGATGTGCCAATGCTAATACAACTGCATACTAAATACCATTGACTTTTTATAAGTCGTTCCCTTTAAACAAACCTAAACACAAACATTAATTTGTAAACTATGTAAAAGTTTCAAAGTCAATGAACCATAATGAGGGGGTGGGGTTATATAATCTCCATGGAAATGAAACTTGCAAATGCCAATACATTTGCATACCAAATATTATTGACTTAACATACGTGGTTCATCTTAAACTGACCTAATCACAAACTAATACATGTAAACTAAGCAAAAGTTTCAAAGTCAATAGACCATGACTGAGGGGTAAGGACCAATTATTCTCCATGGAAATGAGATTTGCTTATGCTTATACAACTGCATACCAATTATGAGTGACCTACCACCAATGGTTCCCCTTAAACTGACCTTATCACAAACTAATACATGAAAACTAAGCAAAAGCTTCAAAGTCAATAGACCATGACTGAGGGGGCGGGTCAAATAATCTCCATGGAAATGAGATGTGCTAATGCTAATACAACTGCATACCAAATATCATTGACCTACCACTACTGGTTTACCATAAACTAGACCTAATCACAAACTAATACATTGTTGACGCCACCGCGGACGTGACTCCGTCAAAGCGAGACAATAAATTGAAACTTATTGATACAATTTTGTTTTTTAACATAAGTTAAGTGAAGCTGAGTTCTGGCAGAAGTGGAATCATTTGGTTTATGATCTTTTAAACTGCTAAAAGGGACTTAAGTAAAATTTCTTTCATAGTTCAAATTCAAATTTCGAACACCTTTATTTTCTTTAAACAAGGTTTTTCCCCCAAATATTTGGAAAGGATAAGAGAATGATTGGAATGCACTTGTAACATGATTAGTAATGCCTGTACAAGACTAACATATAATACCCAATTGCTTAAATTCTATTCGGAGTAGAGTAAATAACGAGAGACCCAAAATATTCTTCATAACTCACTTGGAAGCCTTGTTTTATGTATGTCTTAATGACTCAGGAACCTTTTTGTTTTCTATGTACAAACCAGAAAAAGTCTCCTCATTTTTGAAAAATTGATTTGATTTGATTTGTATATGCTAATGAAAGAATAACTATTTGCCAAGGATCTAAGAGAACCTATAAGTTGCTATTGATCCAAACTAGTAAACAATTTCTCAAATTATTTTCAAATTTCCTACTGGCTCAACAGTAAAAGTAAGTTCACACTGAATAATCAGATGAATAAAGTAGAATACACAAAGTGTAAAATTTTTAAATTCAGATCGCAGGGTTTGATGAGAAAGAAAAATATATTTCAAAATAACTCACACGGGGAAAAAAAGGACATCTTTCACATGATGCGGTGGTATACTATTTCACCAGTGATTTTTACAGGTTTTGTCAAATTGTGACAAAACACTGGTATACTTTTCTTTAAAATATGTTTTTTTAGGGTTACATCTATCACCATCAGGCAAGGTGGCTATGTCCCATTTTAAATTTATCATTTAAATCATCTCTCACAAAAGTTTTTTCCTGAATCTACAAATAAAAAATAATGTGACTTACTGGTATGATAGTTATATTATTGTGGTCAATAAACAAATCTGTAAGGCCTCTCAAACATCCAATTTCTGAAGGTAAGTTAGTAAGTTTATTCTGAGCAAGATTAAGTAAAGTAAGCTGAGCACCAACAAATCCAAGTCTTTCTGGACACTGCTGTATTTGACACTGACTGAAAAAAAAGTATACCTGTCACTTTCAATGAAATAACACACATAAATATGGAAGTTTGTTGTAAAAAATATTTATTTAAAAACTAGACAACTTTCATTGTGTAAAAGGTTATAAAAAATAATAAACATTTTTGATATGTAAAAATTGTTTTTACGAAAGCCTTCAACATTATATATTTTCTGCCATCTGCATAAATGACACACATTGGACCCTTCCTCAATTGCTAGGTCATTCAACAAGCTGAACCATCTTAAACAGGAACGAGTCCAAGGGAAAAATAGAAGATATGATGATTTATCTCTAAACAATTTATGGCAAATTAAATGTTAAATTGGCTTCCTTTAACTTATTTTATTATTGATGTGAAAGAGATATGCTTCCTGAAATACTCATATCAAAATACCACCACCAGTACCCTACAACTTGTAAATTTGTTTATAAAAATGATCAGACACACAGTTGAAATTTTCCAAAACCTATGTTGACCCAACACTTCATAATATACCCAACCTGACTGGAAGAGGTACCTCTGTTTAAGTGAGCAAGTCAAAATGGTACAGAATTTAAAGTCAAGTGTTCTCAAATTTTGGGAAAAAAATATATCTAACACAAATTGTGCACAGTCTGACAATAACTGATTATATACTTCACAAAATACCCAACCTGACTGGAAGAGGTACCTCTGTTTGAGTGAGCCAGTCAAAATGATTCAGAATTTCAAGTCAAGTGTTCTCCAAATTTGGGTAAAAAATATATTACATTATGAAAGGAGACATTCATTCTCCTTATTTATTTATTTTTTAGCAAATAATCGACTCTGGCAAAATAATTTCAACAAACATTTTATCTAACATTTTTTTTAAAGTTTATCTTTATAGCTACCGGTATTTTTTACTTTCTATTTCTATTACTCATCATGGTAACATTGGGACGTGTAAATTATAACTTAAATTTTGTACTAAAGTGCAATTTTCTGTATTGTTTTTATCCTGATGATGGTTTCCGAGGCATCTAAACATGTCAATCACATTAAATTACTGCAGTAATCCCTATTATTGTCTTGCTGTTATAAGATATTCTACATTTTATGTGTTAAAACACATCAACCCTGCATACTTGAGGTATCCACTTTTTTATCATATTGAAGGTTTACCAGGCATTGGTTCACTTTTGTCTTTTATTAAATACTTTAGTATATTTTGTAGCTATTTTGCAGAATTAAATAATCACCAATAAGGGACCATGACACATAATGATTAAAATTTTATGAAAAGGAAGGGAAGTTTCAAAACACTTATGATTTTTTGCACTTGAGTGAAATTCTTATAATAATCATCAGTGACCAGTTGTTAAGTTTCTGGTAGGTTTGATAAACCTTCTATTTGTCCTGACAAATTCATTCCTATTTAGTTCCAAACTGAAACTGGTTTTCCTTATGTTTCTTGAAAACTTGAACGAGCTTCCTAAACTAATCAATCCTCCTTGTATGGTTGAATAATTTTAACAAACCATTATCAGAACTTTTGATTTTTTTCATAACTGGTAAACTGAAACCAATTTTAAATCAACAATAAACCATTCAAGAACCTAAATACTAAACTGAGTTTTGGCTGCAACAAATTAGCCCATAGTGTTTAATTGTCAGAAATTCAGAATTGATTACAAAAAGAAGAGAGGAATCTGCAGATATTGAAAAGAGAAGACAGTACAATCTTATATCTTTTAAATACATTATATGTGACCATTAAATGTTAAGTAAAAAGCTTACAATTTATGCTTACAATTCAAAATAACAAGAAAAAAGGTCATATAAACATGCATTGTATTCATTTTTAATTTTGGTTCATTTCTATGTTTGGGAGTTTAGTGTGATGTCCATTTCGCTAAACTTGTATACATTATTGTTTAGGGGACAGCTGAAGCCCGCCTCCAGGTGCAGGATTTTCTCGTTGCGTTGAAGACCCATTCATGGCTTTAAGTTGTTTTCTGCTCTTTGGTCGGTTTGCCGTCTCTGTGACACATTCCCCATTTCCATTCTCAATTCCATACTCAACATATTAACACTGTACCTTAGATCAATCTCTTGGAGTTGTTGTTGACCATCTGACCTGTACTGACGACCTTTAATATCTTTATTGAGGCGATGGAAGTTACAAGCAGTAACAGAAAAACAACACTGTTTACAGGTTACAAATCTACAGTTGGCATCAGCATAGTACTTTCCACATCTGGAATAGCATTAACAAATATCACGATGAATTATTGAAATAGATACAAATGAACTAATCTGTAATATTTTTAAAGTTTTCCTTAATCTTTTTATAACCTTTTCCAGCAGAGTTGGAGTTGTATATTAATTAAAATACATGTTTTTAAGATTTGTCTGTCTGTTATTTGAAAAGATTAACATATATATAGAATCATAGTGTCAGATTGATTTAAAATTTAAATAGAATTTTATTGACCACTTTCAAAGGGAGTATAATTTTTTACTATTTCAATTCTAATGTTCCAAAGTTGAGGCCCTTGATGATTTAACAAACAAACAAACAAAAAACAAAAAAAACAAAAAAAAATAACTGTAAGTTTTGTTATTTTCAAATATTTTAAATGCGAGTTAATACAGTTGTAGGGGAGATAACTGTAAACACAATAATGAAGTTTCAATGTTCCATTGGTTCCAGTTTTGTAATGATAATGTAGTAACGTATGACTTTGAAATACATTACCAAATAAAAAAAAGGTAAAAAAAAATATATTGCTTAAACTGTAAGTATTGTATTTTTCAAATGTTAGAAGGGAGTTCATAAGTTGCAGGGGAGATAACTGTCAAACAAAAATGAACGTCAAGTTTCCCATTGATACCATTTTTCTGATAATGATGTCGTAACAAATGACTAAATCCATTATTTAAATCTAAAAAATAGAAAAGTCCTCAAAATTTCTTTTAAATGTAAGAATGGTTAAAATGTTCTATATAATATATGCATAAAAACACAAACTTTTATTGTATTCATTTTAAAATGCTTAATGAAATCCAGCTAATATAAAAATATTAGAAAATGACAATTTTTAAAGATAAACTGTTATCACAGAGATATGTCTCGCCTTTTTGTAATTTTGATAATGCAAATGTTGAAATTAAAATAGCAATACTTTAACATGTAAGTTATGCAAATATTCAAAGTCCATGAACCATAACTGAAGGTACATGGATAAACAATCTCCATTAAATGAGATGTGCCAATGCTAATACAACTGCATACCAAATACCATTGACTTATTATAAGTCGTTCCCTTTAAACAAACCTAAACACAAACATTAACTTGTAAACTATGTAAAAGTTTCAAAGTCAATGAACCATGATCAGGGGTGGGGCTATATAATCTCCATGGAAACGATACTTGCAAATGCCAATACATTTGCATACTAAATATCATTGACTTAACATTAGCAGTTCATCTTAAACTGATCTAATCACAAACTAATACATGTAAACTTAGCACAAAAGTTTCAAAGTCAATAGGCCATGACTGAGGGGGCGGGTCCAAATATTCTCCATGGAAATGACATTGTAGACTAGAATATAATTCATGACTAAAATTTCTTTTTTGTTGATCTTGTATTGCTGATAATTTGCTCTGCTTTCAATTTCTTTCTATCGTCTATAGTTTTTGTCCAAAAAAAAAAAAAAAGGTAAAAAAAAACTAGTCAGATAGATCTGTAGAACAGTCACCTGAAGCAAACTTACACTAAAATTATATTGATTTCAATACCTACTAAATATTAAAATAGCTCATATTTAAATGACAAGTGAAAGAAAATTTGTAAACCGTTTCATTTGTATTTAGGAATTAAATGGTACTTGTTGTAATTTTATTAAGATGTAAAAGTGCTGACTGAAGGACATTTTATATGATGCGCAAAAGCATTTCATGCATGTACTTAGTCATGTAATACTTCAAATTAAACAAAAAAGGTCAATATGTTTTAATATAACTGAATGTCATAAAACATGTGTGCATAGACTTAAATAAAAGAAAATCTTTTATTTAACCCATATATACAGTAACTTTTATGCTGTTAAATAATTGTCTTCCTGGAGTCGGTTTCACAAAAAAAAAATGACTACAATTGATCGTAAGTATACTGAATTGTCCATGACTTAAGATCAAGCTTAGTCGTAACTTTTTTTGTGAAACCGACTCCTGCACTCTAATTCACCAAAAGCTTTTCCATATGCATGACAAATATCCTGAGAAATTGGGGAATTGCAAAGGGAAAACCAATTCTGAAAGAAAACTATTCAGAATAGAAATAAATGTATCAAATAATAAAAGTAGGATTTAAACTGGAAGGGAGTATGCATGGAAAATATAAATGACAATTAAACATCACTCCATTATCTTATTTATTATACAGATGTTTACCTCAACATCCTTGAGTATGTATTTCTTATTTTTCAAGGTCACAATCAGTAAACTTTGGCACTAAAACCTGATAGGTAATAAGCAGCAATTGTTTTTGATCAACAATCTATGAATGATTCATTGTTTTGTCAATGATTCATTATATATTCCTACTATATGGTAAAAAACAGCACATCTGACTTATTTAGTTTAGAATATATGCATGCATTGCTTCAAGAATTTCTTGAACATTATAGTCACCTGAAACCTGTTTCATGATTTTAAAATCTATGTACAGGCAGCACATTTAGAACTCTATAAAATTACAAAAACGAAGCATACAATTCTTGTTATTACATAAATTTTATGCTATAACCTTGAAATTCTGTGTTAAAGTCTTTCGTTTGTTTTCCTACACATTGTTGTAAAGTTGGCAGGGCGAGCGCATGCAGTCATAGAAGTTGCATTTTGTGGGATAATAAAAAATAATTTTTGAATGCCTCTTGATTGCTGTCTGTCAATCAAAATAATGGAATCTATCAAACATATATGTATTGTAATTGTATGAGCTTGAGTGTTAAAATAAAATGAAAAATTTTGTACATGACACAAACCTTACACATGGCACCTCAACTTCATCTGTCTGTAGTGTGACTGAACCATCTAGACATACCTATATACAAAAATATGATATGTATTCTACACTTACAATACAATATCCAAAGACAAGGCAATAGTTAAACAGCAGAAAATATATATAATACATTTAGTTGAATAACACCAAATGTTCAAAGGAGGTCAAAGATTTTCAGCATATAAAAGGAATATTTCATATAAATTCTAATAAATGTTAAGACTATCTACATGTATCTCCATAATATCAAGATCAATGAGGGCAACAACTCAAAATCTTTCAAACCTTGGATTATTACTTCTTCAGTTGTTCAAAGCAGTTGACCTTAAATTTCCTTACCATGTCAAACTTTGGAAACAAATTCAAACTTGAAGTTTTATTTCAGTTCTGTGTGTTTCTTTTTACAATTCAATATTTGACTATGAGACAAGATTTTTTTTCAATTGTTTTACTTATCTATGAATATGCAAAATATAATAACTAGCCAGGTTATGCATGTTGTGACTTTAATAATGGTTAATGGTTAAAATAACCTGCAGACTATTGCCATGATCAAGCAATGCATTTAATAAGTGAAAAGGCCATTAGATACACAAATTCATCTACATGTATAAGCAAATTTTGCATTTTTTATGTTATGTTATGTTTTGAGCAGAAACATCAAAACTACATCCTAGAGCTATCAGCAGCTGCTTATGAAATTATAAAGGGGGAAATAGACATATACTTTGAACAACACTCTACATACAAGCTCTTGCCAAAACACCAGCATGATAATCAAGAGCTATGCATCAGAACATCACATTCGGTCAGAAATAGAAGTAGTAACAGACAACTCTATCGTATCAATTTATTCCATACTACATCAAAGGTAGAGGTTAATGGCCAAGGTATGGAACACTTCCTGACACACATTGAAGATATAAAAGAAAGAATGAAATCAAGAGGGAACTATAAGATATATAACAAACAGATAGAGGAACAGATAAACATAATCAAGAGAAATGAAGCCGATATAGAAATAAGAGCAAAACAGAATGAGTCACTTGTAAAAACAACAGATCATCAGCCTAAAACCAACCACAGTAATAGAATACTAGTATCCAAAGGGGCAGAATGTATACAAAATACTGACGAAGAACTTCTAAGTAACTGGAATAGAGCCATTGAATGTTCAGAAGATGAACCAACACCAAATCCGGACACAAGTGCAGTCAGCATGTCTACTATACAAAACTACTGTGACATATGCAATCAGACAGCAAAACCAGAAATATCCATAGACTGTATTGCATGCGGCCAACTGTTTCATATGTGAAAACATTGATCCTGTAAGGATAAGCCAAACTGAAGAAGAACAGTATTCATGTAGGAGCTGCTCTATTATGGACATGGTCATGGTTAATATATCAATGAGAAGCAATAACTCAATTATAGATACAGAAGAAACAATACCAAAAGTAAGTCTAGAAGAACAAGGCTCGACAAAGGAATATAGTGAAATGGCCCATATATTCAAAAACGTGCCAGACAATACATCTAAAGACTGTCCAACTAGAAATGATGTTACGAAGGAAGAAGCAGGAAATGCAAACACAGAAGAATTAGAAATGAACAAAATGGCTACATACAAACAGCCTAACCAAATATTACAGAATGGCAGAAATGAACAAATAGAAAATGTAGATGAGCCAAAAAACATGAAAGCAAAACCGAAAAGGCAATATAAGTGCAAAAATATAAATGAAACTACTCAACAGCTGGAAGATCAATTAGCACAATGCAGAGCAAGACTAGTCATAATGGAAGATACCAATAGAGACTATAGAAATACAATCAATCTACTTAGGATGCAAACAGAAGAAAGCACCATTGACAAAGGTAATTTAAAATCCTATCAACCAAATTGTAACTGTAGTAACAACTCGCAGGAGCAGACTATAAACAAAGTAGATATGATGCTGAACAACTTCAGGCTAGAAATGGAAAATAGAGACCCAAGAATTAAACATCAAATGGAAATGAATGAATTAAGAAATAAACTGCAAATAATGGAACTACAGACAGAACTAAGAATGTGGCAAAGACCAGGAAGTCATGAATATTATCCTTATAACCAGAATATGGATAATACTAGGAACACAAACCAACACCAAATGAGTGATCAGCATACTGGCATACAGCTAACAAATCAGCAATCCAGGATTCCTAATCAAGCCAATCCACTATTCATGAATCATTTGGCACCTCCACACTATAGCCAGATACCAACAGAGCAGAGCAGAATAAATCATGGCCATATACAAACGCCAATGTACCACAATAGCAGAATACAGGCTATACCTGCAAATGGCCTAAGCAGCCACTATTACACTGGCTATAGAGGTATACCAACTGACAGTATCAACACTAACATGATACAAAATGCACATTTATACAGACAGCAATATAGGATAGCTCCACAACCTATACCACAAAATATAAATTACCACCAAGGATATAGTCAACAACAGACAAACAGAAAGGAACAAAGTCAAAGAAACATCAATAAAAGATTCTATGACCAAAGAACAAACATGCCAGTAATAGCTAAACAAAGTCAGGCAGAAGAAATTGAAAGACAAAATCAACTACAACAACAAACAAATCAGGCTGATAATATCAACCAAGTAGATAAAGAACCAACAGAAGAAGCTAGAATGAACATCAATCTAACAAATTCAGCTGCTTTGACTACCGCCAAAAATGATGAAGATAAAACCCATACAGAAGTAAACCATCAAGTAGAAGTCACTTCCAGAACTGGTCTTATAACAACGGCTTCTACTGGGGACGCCCCGCTGGAAGCGGACTGCCATCAGAAGTTTCCCTCTCAAAGGGGGGTTAATGTTGGTGGTCCTAAGCATCTAAAGGGACTAGTTCAGGCTGACAATCTAGAAACAAAAGAAAATGGGAATAGAAAGAAACCAAATAATTTTTTAGGCAGCGGCCGATCAAACAAGATAAAAGGGAGGATATCATTATAGGTACACTCAATGTACAAAATGTGAAGTCAAACGCTCTCTATATCAAAAACTTGTTAAGGGATGTACAGGTGTTATGCATTCAAGAACACTGGCTCTTCAATGCGGAAAAGAAAATCATAGCTGAAGTTGCTGAAAATAGCGGATACATAGCTAAAAGCGTTGACGATAATGACGACCCTGATTTCAACGTATCAATGAAAAGAGGATATGGTGGAGTAGCCATAATCTGGAAAAAAGAAATTAATGAAATATAAAGAAACTGATAGACGGTGGAAATAGAATACAAGCCATACATATTCAGCAAGGAGACAAACCAATATGTCTTATAAATGTATATATGCCATCAGATAACAAAAATGCAGATATCGAATACAAAGACACTTTGGCTCAAATTGATGAAATGATAGAGAAATATAAAGATACACACGAAATTATAGTATGTGGAGACATGAACGGGTCACTCCCTAGAAGCTCTACACCTCATGATAAAATTCTACAAACTTTCTGCAAGGAAAAATGTATAGGAAATACTGAGAAATGCCCATTAAAAGAAACATTTTATCACCAGAATGGTAAATCGAAAGGACAAATTGATTACTTCCTCTTCAAAAGTAACTCGGAAATAATAAATAAAATCAGACAAATTGATGTCCTTGACACTGACCCAGAGAATACCTCGGACCATGTACCTGTTATTCTGACACTGAATAGCCAACTGAAAAAAGTAAGGGAAAAAGCAACAACTATCATAGCAAAACCTAAATGGACTGACTGTGACCATCAAATTTATAAGGAAATCATCAATAAAGATCTACCAAACCTCATGCAAAAATCAAAAGGAATCATTGAGCAAGATATAAGAAATCTAGAAAAATTGCTACATAAAGCCGGAGAAGCGGCAATCCCAAAGTATAGAAGAAAAATCAAAATCAAATCAAAGGGAAAGGCGATATGGAATGAACAAATAGAAAAGGCATCAAAGCAATCAAAAAATGCATATAAAGTATGGAGGCAACATGGAGCACCCCAAGAAAGAAGTAACGAGCTCAAAATCAAAATGACAGCTGCAAAAAGAATACTTCGAAAAGCACAAAGACAAGCTTATGCCTCTCAGAGAGAATCAACAGCGGGAAAAATTATGAAAGCTTCAAATGCAGACACAAAACTTTTTTACAAGCTTATTAACATGCAAAGAAAAACACCACTTACTAACACCAAGATACTGAAACTGAATGAAAAGACTGCAGAAGATGGACCAAGCATAATGAACATTTGGCAAGAACATTTCCAACAACTAGCTACGCCAACATTAGAAGAAAATTTTGACACTGAAAAGCTAGAGCTTGTAGAAATACAAAACAATATAATAGAATCCATAGAAAGGGAAAAAGGTCAAGGCATTGATCATGTCAATGTAAAGGAGGTTAATAAAGCTATAGAAAAACTTAAAGCAGGAAAAGCACCAGATGAGGATGGAATTTCGGCAGAACACTACAAATATGGGATGGATGAGTTAACTCCCTTTATAGTACATTTGCTAAATTTAATTTTAACATATCTGGATGTACCAATCTTCCTAAAGACAGGGATTCTTAAACCAATCCTAAAGAAAGAAAAAGACAAAACATTACCATCTAGCTATAGAGGAATAACTGTGACTAAAACCTTTGCAAAAATATTACAAAAGTATACTGAAGGATAGAGTTGACTCTGTATTTAATAACATACAAAACTCCTTGCAAAGAGGCTTTACAGAAGGAGTATCATCACTATGCGCAGCTTTCCTCACATCAGAAGCAATCGAAGAAAGTAAGAAATTAAAGATACTGATGATTTTAATAACTCTTGATGCAGAAAAAGCATTTGACAAACTAAACCATGAAATACTATTCAACAAGTTGTACCATTATGGAATAAAAGGAAAACTCTGGATACTGCTGAGAAACTTGTATAAAGGCATGAGCATTAAGGTCAAATGGGAAGGTCAATGTACAGAAGATGTAATGGTGTTACAAGGAATTCAACAAGGTGCAAAACTATCTACAACGCTATATAAATGCTACAACAACGTCATACTGGATAGCATTTAAAAAAGTGGACTTGGAGCATGTATTGGTAATATACAAGTCCCTGCACCCACATGTGCCGATGACATTGCTGTCCTGGCAAATAGTACTGCAGACGCACAAGGAATATTAGACATAGTACAGCACCATACAAGCAGAGATCTAGTTAAAATCAATCCAACTAAATCTGAAGCGGTTTTATATAATACAAAAGGCTCAAACATAACAACACTGCAATTCGAAGACGATGACATCAATATAACCAATGAAACCAAACACCTAGGTATCAAAAGAAACGAACAAAACCGGGCAAATATCTCTGAAAGAATAAGAACCGGCAGGGCAACAATATACAGCCTTCTCGGAGCCGGTTTACATGTCAGAAGGGGATTCTCACCCATGGTCGCATACAAGCTATGGAGAACATATGCAGTACCAAGAAGCATCTACGGACTTGAGGTGATGAACTTACTTGCAAAAGAAAAGGATATGCTAGAACTGGCAGAGAGAAAAATCCTCCGACAAATTCAAGGGCTTCCAAATAATACAGCAAATATGGCTGTCTATACCCTGTTAGGAGCAGAACCTATTGCCATCACATTAGACAAAAATCTACTTACCTTCTTCATGAATATTGTTCGAAATTCAGGAACCATAGAATGTGAAATTCTGCGTCGACAAATAGCATTCTCAGACCAAAGAGGAAAAGACTTTATCAACGGAGTGGAAAAAACTCTATCAAAATACAATTTGAAATCTAGTAGTTACTACATAGAAAAACCACTTAAGAAAATCGAATGGAAAAGACTAGTAGGAATAAAGATCAAGGAATACTGGAAAAATGAATGTCATTATGAAAAAATGGAAAAAACATCACTTAAATACATAGAGATACAGAACAATCCATTAAATGAAGCACACAATATATGGAAAAGCGTAAAAAACAATAGTAAAGATGTAAAGGCAGGAGAAATAAAAGCAAGAATAAGTACTCAAACGTACATATTACAAGCCAAAAGAGCTAAGTTCGATCCGAAAGTTAACCCGATATGTACAATCTGTGAACAGGAAAATGAAGATCTAGAACATTTTATTCTACGCTGCAAAGAATTGGAGCAAATAAGATCTAAATATTGCTCAAAAATAGAACAGACAATGGATGAAATTGATACCTCAACATACAAGAAGATCATACAAGAAGGGAATTTACTACAGCTCATAATGGACTGTACTAGCAAGGACATAAACTGTTACTCAACTGTGTATGAAAACATTGAAACTCTGGCTAGAAATATGTGCTACGAGATGCACATGCTGCGCACAAAAAGGATTAAAAACTTGAACACAAGTACAGTATAAGTAAACTTTTTAAAATAAAATAGTTCCCTACTTTACCATCTTACTATTTTATGACGTATTAGGGCCTAAATTAAATAAAAAATTTTGCAAAGTTTTAAGATATCCAGTTACCTTTAAAGAATAATGATAAGATCCGAAATAAGGTAACTTTAAACTGTGAAGGAAAACTTATGTATATATGATGAATTGTTCTAAACCCCAACCCTTTTACATAAGTCCTATAAAATAACCTTCTCATTATAAATTCTGATGTACGTATAGCACCTTTAACTAACAATTATAAGAAAGTTTAATTTAAGACCACTTAAATTCTAAATTCTTATTTGTAAATATATCCAGTTCTTACTTAACTTATTCTTACACTTCAGCAAATTATGAATATTATTTTTATAAAATTTTATGATGACAATCCTATGAATTAGTTATAATATTAATTTTTAGTAATTATTATTGCCTAAATTCAGTCATCTGTACATAATTAAATGTTTCCTTATGTTCTAAGGTGTATATAGTTGCTAAAATCATACCCTATGGGTAGTGCTCCACAATTAATGGAGGAATATACAAGAAACTGAACTATAAATAGGTGTTGAGAATTTGAAATGAAAATTTGATGCAAATACTTATTAATCAAAGTTGCATACAGTAAATTTTTTATACATGCATACTTTAAAAATTTATAACTTTCAAAAGATGTTACAACAAATTGAATAAAAACACCTTTTTTCGATCAACTCAGTTATGAAACATTTTGTTAAAATAGAGAATATATCTCATTTAATATATATGAGAACAAACTTTGACAACAGATTAAAACCCTTCAAAATTGTAGTTGTTTAGAAAATCAGTAAAACTTTTTACCTGTTTTCAACCTCTAATTTTTTACATGGCTGTACCATTATTTTTTTCAAGCATGACAACATACAAAAAAGTTAATTAAACCATTTGACTAAAAAAACTCACTGGTCGACAATATTTCCTTGAAGGATGAATTTTACCAGCATAAATAGATAGAGTTGCTGATTTGGCTTTCACTGTTCCTTTGGAAGGCTGCACCACATTTATGATATGAAAAACTGCCCATACTATAGAACAACATAAAGAACTAGCTATGGCTACAGCTATTGTTGTTGTTTGAACATCGTCACTGAAGAAAATCACATCATTGGCCACAAATGATAGATATTCATAAACCACACCAGCCATTACCTACAAAGAATAAGAAACATTAGGAGTAGCTGTCAATACATCACATTAGAGGTAGAAGAAATAGAAAACATATGGGTCTATGCTTATAAGACAAAATCCCATGAAATACATATACTAAGAAATTACCCATATATTAAAAGAAAAATAGTACAAGCATTCCTGCAGCTCTTTATCATCACAGTTGCTGGAAGGTCTTTAACTATGTTGTAAAGAGTTCACACCTTACTACAAGGTTGAGACATGGCATCAACTGATGTGGTACTATTTTTACATATTTATCAATAACTTCTTTATATCTTTATAAAATAACATGCTATTATCAATAAATTGCAAATGAACTAGCGATCTTTTCCTACACATTCTTTGGTTGACGAATGAATATAAAATCAAAACATTAACAAATAGAAAGTCAATCACTAGGTAATGGAAGCTGTGAAGTATTACTATGAAGCATTACTATCCCTATGTTTGCCACCTGATCAGTTTGAAACAATGATTCTTTATAAATGCAATGCACCTGAAGTCTGTATATAAAGTTCCATGGGAACCTATGTGGTACATAGTGAGTACCAAATGTACAAGAAATGAGGACTTTTAATAAACTGCTTGCAATCATCATTCCTGTAAAGTGTAAAAACAATTTGGCCATGGCATTTTTTTTTGTTTACAGATTCATATTACTCTCAAATCTCTCTTGATTTTAATCTATAATTTATTCAGTAAAATATATTTCAACACCTACACTATATACCTCTTTGTAAAATTTTAATTAAACAGCTGCAAGAAAATTATTACATCAACTATTTCTGCTAACGGAACTTTGTGAATCTTAAGCAATGTATGGTAAAAGAATCAAACAAATCATATCAATACTCAAGAATTAACTACTTGGGAAGTTCCTATATCTCAACAACTACTTGGGAAGTTCCTATATCTCAACAACTACTTGGGAAGTTCCTATATCTCAACAACTACTTGGGAAGTTCCTATATCTCAACAACTACTTGGGAAGTTCCTATATCTCAACCAAGTGACTGTTACACAAACACATTTGGTTCCAAATTCAAGCATGCAATATTTTTTTGTTTTTTGCTCATAAAGAAATTATATAACTGACTAGATTCTATATCTGTATATTAATGCAGCTGTGATTATATAATTACATTTACATTAAAAGAGATACTCTATTTCAGTATTTTTCTATAAATCTCAGAATTCACCAGCTAAGTCATAATTGAAAATTATTTTTTTAAATAACATTAACTGTACCAATTTTACTGCACCAGTTGCGCATTTGACAATTAATGTCTCTTCAGTGTTACTTGAGACACAAATAATTGAAAATCCAAAACCAGTTTTTTACACTGTTGTATATACATGTAGTACATATAAAGGGATAATAGGAATTGTCAAAACTACTTCACAATACAAAGACCACAGCTACCAACACTCTACTTTTAAAAAGAAAAACCCCAAAAAAGGATAAACAAAGACACCAATAATGAACACCACATGCATGAATGGTATAGTATTGTCGGTTAAATGTTGTTAACTTACCAACAAGCTGTTCCTTCTCAAAAAATTTCCATTTTACATCTTGCTATTGTAAAATCTACAAGAAATAAATTATGTAAAATGTGAAATGTTAAATGTGAAAACAAACATAAAGTGATGAGAATAAAGGAGATTGTCATTTCATATCATTAGTTCATTACGTGTAACTCAAAGAAATGATAAAAATATCTATGAAAAAGGTTATCTTTCAATTTACAACTTACCAAATTAATAAATACAGATAAAAATAAAAATAAAAATAAAGCTTGAGGCTCTTCAAGATATTAAAATGTCCTTCATACAAAAACACTGTTAAATAAATCTGTATTTTTTCCAAAAGAATGTCACTGAACTTAATTATAAACTTCAAGAAAGCAATAAATCACACATTTTTAAAGATCATGGCAGAGTAAAATTTGTGAAAGATCAATATAAAATATCAATTTTATCCATGTAACAGCTGTGAATCAAAAACAACCATACAACTATTCAATAATAAGAATACATAAAAGTATAAGAAGCTTTCATCAAGATTTTTTATTGATTTACAATATATTGTCTGCTGTAAAACAAATAAATGTTGTTCAATTATTCATAACTTTCCGTAATCATGATCATAGATACATAACCAGAGGAATCATAATAAATCTCATCAAAATATCATTGTTTCTAGATTCCTGATTAACAAAATTTTTATATTGGTAAACTAAAATAATAGTCTATAAAGAAACTTGAAAAAATATACTTTCTTTGAAAGAACTTTGATAAAGAAGTGAAGCAGTTTTGATTTCCAAAAATTAAAAAATTCTGAAAAAAGTTGCATCATTCACTTATTGACTTAGTAATTTTATAATGTGATCTTAAATAAATCTTCTGCATTGTACATCTTTGTATTCTGAAACTAGATGTACAAAGAAAGATTCAGACAAATATTGCTTTTAGCTAGTTATTAACCAAGAAGAGTAGATTCTCATAAGACTCTGTCTAAATAACTATTAAAATTTAATAAAAATTTGTATATACATGTATGTGAATTATTTTTATAAAGGGAAAGGAAATACTGGTCAATATGTGAAATCTTCTTAGACTTAAAAATTATCTACAAAACTTTCATCTTAATTTTCAAGCTGACTGTAATAAGCTGTCACTTATTTTTTTTTATTTCCCATTTTTTTTATTTACACTTTATTTTGATAAAAAACATGACTTTTTCGAATTATAAACAGTCCAGGGAAGTTATAAGAGATCATATATCCTACATAATATATACCATTTTTTTTCCCCCAAACTTTTTAAAGCTTATTATTATATGGTATTGGGTGTTGCTCATTGTTGAAGACTGTGTACAATGTACATGACTGTAGTTTTACATCCATGTCCTTAGTCTTTTTTTAGTGGATAGTTGTGAACTTGTCACATTTGCAATCATAACATATCATCTTAATTTTTAGAACTTTGATATTTTACCTAAAATTATTTAATTAAAGCTTAAATATCACTAATTATAATGAATTAGTTTTTCATACCTTTTGTTTGAGTAAAAGCATCATTATTTGAATAAAATGAAAAGGTCAAGTTACCGTATGTCACAAAACTAGGATATAAGTGTAGAACTTGAATACATTTTTTTTTTTAAATCTCCTTTATTTTCTGAAATATTATTGAATGAATATTGTTAACCAAATGAATGCATGCTTGTGAATGCATGCAAAATGAACAGACAACTTTGTAGGGTACATGTATGTCTTAAACTATCATGTGGCAAAAATATTCAACTTTTCTTTAAAATTGATTTACAAACATTTTTTTATTGCTATAAAATATCATAATCTATTAACCATTTTATCTCTTATGTTTTTAGTAACTAAAACTGACAATTTGACAATGTTACAATGCTTATTTGATGTGTAAAAGTACATTTTAACCTGAAATACAATTTGAATAGACTGATCACCAAAAATGAATTGGTGATATTATGATTATTTTATATCACGAACTGGAGGCACCAAGAATCACCAATTAATATTCATTTGCAATTTTTTGCAAATAATCTTGTCTATAAAATTCTGCTGTTTATATGTTTTCAAGATAAAATCAAGAAATACTTAGAGTTCATAAAAATCATATGTATTATTAGAGGGTTACATGTGCAACTGTAATAGGAAGTTATCTAAATATTTTGACGGATATTTAGCACATTTTTACAACTATCAAAATTTTCCCTTTGACTAGGGTTTTCAGCTTTTTGGGGTTTAATCTTGACCTGACTTAATCTGTTTTATGATGTTGCACCACCATCATCAACTTATCTTCCCCCTTCTTCAAGTAATCTCCTCATTGAAAAAAACATCACTTTAGAACTGCGCTATTTAAAAGACATTTTTTCAAAAAAATATCCCTCACTGTTCATTTTGCTGTCTGCAATTTCTGTCTTGGACTTTTAAACTATGGTGGATAGTTGTTGCCTGGCAATTATACCACATCTCCTTACTTTTATAATCAATAAGAGTGTTAAAAATGCTTAAATTGATTTAAAATCTTATTTTTGGGCATTTACATCCTTTAGCCTTCATCTGACAAATATTATTGAAATGAAATGTAGGAAGATCTTGACATTCTGAGCATTTTTTCTTCATCAAACATTTGCTTTCAATCAAAAATTATTTACATTTCACCCATATTTTGATTTTTCTATCATATTCAGCCATAGTGGCCATGTAGGTTGGTTGCTGGGGACAAAAATACAACTTTCATTACTTTATTTCAGATAGCCTAAGGATCATCCTTGGCAAGTTTAGTTGTTATTGGTTCAATTGTTTTATTGCAGAAGATTAAAAAATATAACAAGTCTTAGGAGGAACAATGGTTTTACTTTATTGTTTGAGAATCTTTATCATTGATTTGCATACTGTTGTTTGTCCGTTTGTCTTTTTCTTTTTTAGCCATGGCGTTGTCAGTTTATTTTCGACTTATGAGTTTCAATGTCCCTTTGGTATCCTTAGCCTCTCTTTTGATAAGCATCAGGCCTGTAGCCAGGATTCCTCTAAGGGGGGGTTAAATTGGAGTTTGACTTTAATCTCAATCTCAAATTTAATAGTCTTTTACTATCATTTTTAGTTTTTTGGGGCGGTTCCTCAGAAACCTCTGGCTATGGGTGTGAGCATTCTATACCAATGTGCAACTATCATGTCTATTTTAGGAACCTGGCAGTTGACACCTAAAGGGAAATAGCTCCAACTCATATTACCTCAATTGAAAACTATCTATTGAAGTACACAAAACATTCTCCCATACTGTGTTAGCACTAAAACAAAAATTGATCTCACAGTCCAAAATTTTCTGTTTTAGTATTGCTAACCTGTGATCCTAGTCAGTATTCTCTTAACAAGAAGTTGTCCTTCAAATATTGAGTCAGGTCAGAATAATTGGTTTTGTATTTCATCTAAATTCAGTGTACTCTCCAGGCCTTTAAAGTACAGCAGTCCTGTGTATATCGGCAAAATTCAATTCCAGGTCAAATTTATGCTACAAATGTAGCTGCATGTTGATTGCTTAAGTTAATAAATCTGCTTCTTGGTATATTACAATATATAACACTCCATAAGGCCCTGCATATTAGGGAGATACACGTTTGGGCTTAAAATATGTTCTTATTTTATGTGTACCTCATCCATTTACCAGACATACAGTGCCTGCTCACTTTTCACAACTGCCAGGTTGAAGTGGGATTTTGAACAAAATGAGTCTTTATAGCACTTTATAATTTTTTTAACCTGTGTACAACATACAGGTATGATAAGATATAATTTAAAATATTTTCTTTCCTATTGTTAATTTTCCTTTTTTGGACAGTGATGTTCCTTTGGCCCCATCTTATGGTGTTTGTATACTCCAACTCATTGTAACTGTAGTTATGATTTGGATTTCAATGAACATTATCTATGTATTACTGAAGTCAAGGATTTCGTTACCACAAATTACTTAAAACCTTTTTGGTGTGAAAATTAGCTGTCCCTGTAGATAAATGATTACAAATGTGATAGCACATCTAAATTTTTACCATATGAGGTTTATTGAACAACATTCTCTATGTGCCTTTCCCAAGTCAGGAGCCTGTAATTCAGTGGTTGTCTTTTCTTGATGTAAATCATATTTGTTTTTTGATTATATTCTTATTGTAATATAAATCAGTCTGTTAGTTCTCCCGTTTGAATTGTTTTACATTTGTCATTTTGGGGCCTTTCATAGCTTGCTATGCAAAATGGGTTTTGCTCATTGTTGAAGGCCATACAGTAACCTTTAGTTGCTAACCATGCTAACCTAAATGTCATTTGGTCTCTGGTGGATATGGTCTCATTGGCAATAATATGCCACATCTTATCAATGTATTTAACTTTTGAATATATATTTATTATTTCAATTGTACTATACTGTATGTCATAACCATTTAATAAATGTGTTTGTGCTTATAAATATTGTCTATTGTCTATATAGGTACTGCCAGGTCTTAAAAGTTTTCTATGTTCCTTTTGCACATGCCTGTACTAAGGAAATTTTCGAGGTGTAAACACCCAGTCCCACACCCACTCCATGGTTATAAAAATCTGATGAATTTGCAGTTACAGTGGTTTCAGATAAACTGTTCCATTTGTACGAGATTCATTTTACAGAATTGTCACAAATTTCTATTTTGAAAATTATGATTTACCGTAATATTTGTTTTTCATAATCATTCTGGAGACTTGGTTTGTTTACAATACATTTTTCGGTACGTGTCTGTATCTCTCAATGATAATACTAAAACCCATCTTACCAAGGTCTGGATTGGGTTTACGGAGAAATGATGGCAAAATAAAACAGAATAATGGGGTGCAACAGTATAAAGAATAACTGTGCAAAATAAGCGAATATTGGCAATACAAAACTGATAACAGAAACGGCCGATCTGGGACATTATTTAATATCAGAAGTATCTATATATAGGGATTTTAAAATATCTACCCTTTTCTATTTCAAGCACAGAGACTCGGTTAGCAGATTAAAATTTTGTTAATCAATGTTTTTTTTATTTTTTTTTTATTATTTCCTGTCTATTTGTAATATGAGGAAGGCACTACCTTGAATGCCAGCTTACCAAGACTATGTCCTACATATTGATTGATTGTTGGTTTGCTTAACATCCAGTGGCAAATATTTCATGCATATTCAGGACGAATGTTCTACATATAGTTTTTGTCTAAAATAAAATAATAAGTTCGGATGGAAAATGTTAAGGGAACGATCATTGAACTTCAAAAGGCAGGATGGAGTATGTTTTTTTTTCTTCAAAAATATTCTGATTCCCAAATTGATGAAAAAAAAATATTCTAATCAAGCAGAGGACAAACAAATATTCTGAATCCAGATTATCCCCATACCTTCTAGTGTTAATTTTTGACCAAATAATTTTGATTGAAAGCGTTGAAGCCCTTTGCGTGAAAAAAAATCTAACTCAAACAAAAAACCATACCCCCCCCCCCCCCCCCTTTTGAAACCCTTATTGTCCATATTGTTTTCTGCTGAAAATAAATTTATTGGTGATTTATCTAAATGACAATGCTTAAATTCATTATCTTGTTCCATTTTCAAATCCATTTTTCTTTCTTTGCAAATTTTACAAAATTTAAAACAATAATTAAGACATTTGTTTAATTTCAAAACTATGAATACTGTTATACAATCGATAACTTTATTAAATACTGTTATACAATCGATAACTTTATTAAATACTGTTATACAATCGATAACTTTATTAAATTCATTTTTTGTTGATTTTCATGAAAAGGTGGAGGATTTGGAATTTCTTTTTCATCAATATCTAAAAGTTGTAGCTGTTTTTTTTTTATTTAGTAATGCAAACAACGCTTTCTGTTTGTTGAATTATTTTTACTTTCTAAATTAGCTGGATGTTCATATTGTATTCCCAGTTTCCTGCATCTCATATATATGTGATCAGCAAGAGGATCATTCTGATTGTTAAAAGAAGAGTTTGAATTTACAGTGAGCCTGTTAAGAATAATGTTTTGATCAGGTTTTTCATTTTGATCTAAGCATAACTTCTGCATAAGGAACCATAAATAGGATTGTTAAGTTGATAATCTAAAGATTTTGCTATTTTCTAGGATGCTATTTAAAATTTGAGGGGTGGACACTGCTCAGCAGTATAAATGTATTCCTGATCATCTTCTGTTTGTAGGTTTCTACATCAATTTCATGTACTAATTCAGAGTCAGTTTTATGTCATTTTTGCATTTTGTCACAGTTTATTAGCTTACTTTTCAAGTTTTTATACAACGGCAAAATAAAATTCAGAATGGAAATGGGGAATATGTCAAAAATATGCTTTCGAGTAATGCAATCATGTCGCTGTTGTTGTCCGAAGACACAGTTGGTTTCCGGACAATAACTTTAGTTTAAGTAAATGGATCTCTATGACAATGTATGAAATTGTACCAGAAGGTTTAACTTCAATACACAAAAGGAAGGTTAGAATTGATTTTGGGGGTTATCATATGGTACCAACAGTTTAGGAGTCAGTGGTCAAAAACAATATTTTGGGGTTGTTTTTTCCATAATATTTGGGTTTTTTCTCCAGAAATTTACCATTTTTACATTGAAATTATTTCTCATTTATATATAAATGCAACAAATACTGATATGGCAGGAGATACACACGAAACAGGGTGTGTAAATTATTTTATCGGTAATTTGTGCATTTTTCCTTTGATGTGTACTTCTTGATAATGTCGACGTCAGTATCATTGAACTGGTCATGATAAAGAAAATATATTGGGTCAGTTCGCAATTGACATGCGCGAGTGCACCGCAAAAGGATCTTCTTTCCCTTTAATTCACAAAATTGCACATGATTTTTTTTTCGTAGAAACGCATGAGTTATTTCATGAATGAAACACTTGTCATTGTTTGAAACTTTCAGTAATAAAAAGTTAGTTTAGCCTTTTTGAACGATTCACTGATTGTGTGAAAATTTGAATAGAAAATGTACGATAAACCTGATAAAATTGCGTTATCTGCAGAGTTATTGATAGCTTTCCTTACTATTCACAAGGACATATAACTAACATATCGTCCATGCTATTCCGATCTGAGTTTTTATTCATGCATAGTTTGGCATGGCTGGTGCTGTTCCAAGTTGTCTTCTTTCTCTGCATGTTTCTTGAGAAGTATTTGTTTGACCTGGTCAGTCACTACAAAGTGTTACAATTCATATTTAGACGCAACACATAAATAGTGACCAAAAAGGTACCGCTTTCACATGTATGACATGAGAGAATCTAGAAAAAAAATTAAATGTACACATAATTTTTCAACATTTTTGTGGGACTATCATATAAAATTAAGGAGATATGTAGTTGGAGACTGCTGCTGAATAGAAATGTTCGGGCTCGCCTGATACCTGTTTTCAAATTAGTCCATATTAAAGTTTGAAGGGTCCAAAATTAAAATATGTTTGATTTCAACTGACATAAAATTTTTGGTGTTTTTTATATGCTAAATCTACATCTGTTGATATATTCTCATTGTGAACGATTTGTGTATATTTAAATATATTAACCGATGTTGAAAGACATGTATAATGTCAAATCATAACAATACAAATTGTTTAGTCTCAAAGAAAACTTGTAAGATTTCCGCAGTTATTTTTGCTGAATAGGTGCAAATTGGGTACTCGGTGCAATTTGGGAACTGTGACGTTATAGCCATAAGTGTTTATTGCTTTAATAGGTTGAAATGTGCACCTGATAAAAGTATTCAGTAGAGGGAAAATGTTTTGATCAGGTTTAAACTGACGCATAAAATATACAGGCGACTGCAGGAGGCAATTATTTTAATATATTGCATCCAAATAATGTGTCGGCAGCTTGAATTTCAAAGGATGTAGCCCACATCCTTCCAAGTAACATGCTCTATACCTATCAAAAGTCAGGGTATTAACATGGGTTATCATAACTCCATCTTCCCATAAAATCCTATTTTGGACAATATGGGTGCATACAATATATATGTACCTATAAATGTATCACTCAGACTAAAGTCTCCTTTTACAGCTGTTTTATGATTAAACTTAGAGAGTGAAAAAAAACAGTCTCCATCTCCTGGGACTGTTTAAGGTAGATGTCATAATTAATGACAAGATTTGTTGAGAGTTTGTCAAAGGAAGTACAGTCTACAGATACCGATTTGAATATATTTCATTTGTTTAAAACTTTTGTTAAGTTTTAAATTTCACTAGTTCAAATAATTTTGACGTCTTGCAAGGCTATTTTATTTTTTTTCTGTGACACCTTCCTACGAGAAAAAAAAATAAAATAGCCTTGCAAGGTCTTGCAAGACGTCATAATTATTTGGACTAGAATTTCACCTGCATTTGTCTGTGAGCTACAGGAATAACCGTGATCACATTCAACAGTATAACCAACTTCATTATCACTGTAACTTGATATGGGAAATTCTGTAGCAGATGAATAATAGTAGTCGTGGTCAACCAGAGGCAGAGCACCGGATTTTACTACCACCGGCTGTCCGGCTACGTTTCTCCCGAAATTTATTGCTTGCAGAGGGTTTTTCTGTCATGGCTGGACGGAACTTTTACACTACAAATGTTATCATAAATTATGATATCATGATATTGTAACTTTTAAATGAAGTACCTGTGGTTATTTAGGAAATTTGTCACTGATAATGGAAAGATGAAGCAGACGATCAAACATGACGTAAGATGTTGTTGTCCAAAATTCGGTTATTTCCGTGGTACAATAAAATTTAAATAAACTACACAAGTTACTAAAATTTCTAAATTCTTGTTTTTGAAAACAAATAAAAATTCATGTCGTATTTAACATCGAATTTATTCCGTTTTGTCCCGGTTTTTTTAAGATCGCGATTAAACGAGAATCTGGCAGCCATTAAAAATATAAGGGTTAAACTAATGTCCTGACAATGTCCTGACGGATATTCCAATGCTAATTTCGTTTTCATTATTTGAAGAATTGACTTTATATTTGGAGCCAAGCAAGAATACAATATTTATTTAATAAATATAAGGAAAAAAAAGAAAAAAAAATATTTTAAGAGTTAGATAACTTGACTTGATCAACTTCGAATTTTAAAAAAAAAAAATCGTACGAGATTTAACGAGAGTGACGAAACTTTTTAGATTGATCATGTAGAGAGAGTTATCGTTCTTTATTCCAATTCGATGCTTCTACCATAAGTGCCAGCTAAAGCTGGCATATTAATATGAGGAAGGCGCTACCTTGAATGCCAGCTTACCAAGACTATGTTCTACATATTGATTGATTGTTGGTTTGCTTAACGTCCAGTGGCAAATATTTCATGCATGTACAGGACGAATGTCCTACATATAGTTTTTGTCTTAAATAAAATAATAAGTTCAGATGGAAAATGTTAAGGGAACGATCATTGAACTTCAAAAGGCAGGATGGAGTATGTTTTTTTTTCTTCAAAAATATTCGGATTCCCAAATTGATGAAAAAAAAAATTCTAATCAAGCAGAGGACAAAAAAATATTCTGAATCCAGATTATCCCCATACCTTCTAGTGTTAATTTTTGACCAAATAATTTTGATTGAAATCGTTGAAGCCCTTTGTGTGAAAAAAAATCTAACTCAAACAAAAAACCATACCCCCCCCTTTTACCCTTTTGAAGCTAAATGGTTGCACCCTTATTGTCCATACTGTTTTCTGCTGAAAATAAA